AAATATTATTCACTGATTGTTTAATTTTTACTTACAGGGGTGCAGCGTGGGAGGACGCCTTCCTCGACGCAGTGGGGGTCGCAGAAGACACCGGACGTTTCAAGCACATCTCAGTCGCACGATTCGGCTCCCGGACCCTCGATCATGAATTGGAGAAGAACACGCGAACTGTCATCCCTTTCTTCAGTTCTACTTTCATTCTTATGGGCATATTCTCCATTGTCACCTGCATGATGGCAGATTGGGTACGATCAAAACCGTGGCTAGGACTCTTAGGGAATATATCAGCTGTTATGGCCACTGCAGCTGCTTTTGGTTGTGCTATTTATTTGGGGATCTCGTTCATTGGAATCAACCTTGCTGCTCCTTTTTTGATGATTGGTGAGTAAACTTTTATTCTCATATTTTATGAGGAATCAGCAATAACGAGCCTTTCTCCACATGGCCCCTTTGTTCTTTTTCTGTCTTGTCTTTTTTTTAGCGTGTTTATATCTTGTTTTTCCAGGTATCGGAATAGATGACACTTTCGTAATGCTGGCGGCCTGGCGACGAGCCTCTCCCAAGCTTGGCGTTCCAGAGAGGATGGCAGTCATGTTGTCGGAAGCAGCCGTGTCCATCACCATCACATCAGTCACAGACATGCTATCATTTTTCATCGGCATCTTCTCACCGTTTCCTTCTGTGCAGATCTTCTGCATGTATTCAGGTAATAAATTAAATCGATTTGTTCTCCATCTCTTCCCTTTCATATGACATTGACCAAGATTAGTCAGATAAGATTATTCCAGTTTACGATTTTCATTTAATTTTAAAATGACATTTTAAANTTGTTTTATTTTTCAGGTTTAGCAGTTTGCTTCACGTTTGTGTGGCACCTGACATTCTTCGCCGGTTGCGTAGCCATCTCAGGGTACCGAGAGAAACAGAATCGACACACCATTACCTGGATGAAAGTCCTTCCAGAATCCAGAGCAAGAAAAGGTGAATATAAAACAGTTCAGAGTATTTTTTTTTTAATTATGTCCAAGACTGTAGTGTGTTTAGAGAAAAATACAATCCAGCCGACGATCCAGTCTCGCTAGACTGAACAAGAATTTAAAACGTCATTTACCTCTTCAAGTGTAGGTACTGTTGTAGTTGGAAATGCAAAGGTCAAGAACATGTTGGTGTTTTGGCAATATCTCAATTTTGCTTGGCGGCGAGCATACAAATTACAAACCAACCTAACCTAACGTTATTGAATCAGTAAATGCGGCTTGAGACCTAATACTGGGTTAAATAATTATTGAGGCAACATTTGTACCCCAGTATCACAAAACAATACCGTGCGACCTAACAGCTAAAAGCGATCTAATAGAGAACTTTTCAATTTTACAGAGAAAAAGTCATGGCTGTATAGAGCATTCTGCAGCGGAGGTATCGACCGTGCCGACCCAGACAACCCCATTGACAACCGAGAACACTGCATCATGGCGTTTTTCCGAACCACTATGGCTGATCTACTGAATAATGGGGCTGTAAAGGCACTGGTCATCGTAATTTTCCTCGCGTACTTGGCCGGCGCTGGATATGGAGTCACCAACCTAAACGAGGGTCTGGAGAGAAGGAAGCTTTCTAAAGAGGATTCATACTCTGTGGAGTTCTTCGATAGAGAAGATCTTTACTACAGAGAATTCCCTTACAGGATTCAGGTACATAACCAGATTTCATGTGTTTACGAGTAGGTACCTACAACAATTTGACCCTTTTAACGAAGTATGTGATAAGCCTCGAATCAACTTTTCAGGTGGTCATTAGCGGCNTTAGCGGAAATTATAATTATTCGGATCCAGAAATACAAGATGAAGTAGAAACACTGACGCAGAGGTTAGAAAATACGTCGTACATATCCAACTCGCTGTACACCGAATCATGGCTGCGAACGTTCATCAATTACGTCTCGCGAAATAACGACTACTTGAATGTTACAATCGACAACGAACCTGACTTCATACAAAATCTCAAAGAAGTAAGTATATGAAGTCCTAAATAAAATTAAGTTGATGAAAGAGGAATGTTCCCAAATCCAAACTCTCATTCAACACTGTTATCTTTTACAGATATGGCTCTTCCCCGCAAATCCTTTCTCTCTGGACGTCAAGTTTAACGAAGCTGGTGACCAAATTATCGCATCGAGGTTCCTGATCCAAGCAATCAACATTAGCGGCACCAACCATGAAAAGGAAATGGTCAAAGTCCTTCGAGACGTTGTAGCACAATCGCCCCTGAATGCCTCTGTTTTCCATCCGTACTTCGTATTTTTCGATCAGGTAAATTATTCTTCTTATTTTTGCTTTCATTATACAGACTCTCATGTTCTTGTGATTTTATTCGGTGCGGGTTCTCTCGGGACTAGTCAACCGTAACTGATTCGGTTTTACTGGAAACCAAACTGTAGATCCTGGCTTAACAGGACTTGCAGATTTGAAGAGAAGTGGGAGTCCCGTTATCTCTTTTAGTATATTGATGCTTTCAAAGTAAAATGACACTCAAGTAATTGATGTATTTGTACTGATTGTTTTCATTGTATCTTTTTCAGTTCGAGCTCGTCAGACCAACATCCATTCAAAACCTCTGCTACGGTGCACTCATGATGATGATCACGTCATTCATTTTCATCCCTAATATCCTTTGTTCTTTGTGGGTAGCCTTCAGTATCATATCCATTGAAATTGGAGTCGTCGGTTATATGGCCTTATGGGACATCAATCTTGACTCCATATCCATGATTAATCTCATCATGTGTATAGGTTTCTCCGTCGATTTTACTGCCCACATCTGCTATGCTTACATGGCGTCCAAAGCGAAATCCCCCAACGACAGAGTCAGTGAATGCTTATATTCGCTCGGCCTGCCAATAGTCCAAGGATCCTTCAGCACCATTCTTGGAGTTGTAGCCTTACTCTTAGCTGACAGCTACATTTTCTCTGTCTTCTTCAAGATGGTATTTATGGTAATATTCTTCGGTGCCATGCATGGTCTCTTCCTTCTACCTGTCCTTCTATCCTTATTCGGCCCTGGATCGTGCACTAGACACGAACCGGACATAAAAATGTCGAAAATAGAAAAATATCCCCACCCCTACTGCCTACCCCATCCCCAGTTGATGCTGAACGATCAAATATTTAACGGCAAAACTTTGAATCCGAATGGAATTTACAAGATTTACGGAGACGACAAAGATTTAGGCATCGGAACATCCGGTGAGGATACCAGCGAGAGCAGTTCCAACCAGTCGCAACGTCGGCAACTCGATGACGAAAGTGGAAGGAAGAAATACGAGGAAGGGNAAGAAGGATGGAAGAGATCGAGCTACTGCCAGAGTCCGAGCCAGTTCCAGCCATCTGGTGAACTGGACTTGTACGGGCATGATTTAGATAGGAATTGGCAACGTCAGCGTTATGAAGACAACCGTCGAGTGTTCGACAACTATCGGAAAGCTCCTGTGCCTAGATCTAGGGATGACGACTGGGTGACTTCTGGTCGTAAAACGAGCGATGTGGGTATGCCCCGCCGGGAAGGCACCTACCGAGTGATGCGAGCACAGTCGCAGCACAATCTCCACCGACCCCGCGCGCCCCGGCGATCCAACTCGCACCAGAACCTAGAACATTTAGATTATGTCGCCGAAATGCGCTTTCCTTGACAATAACCTACGATTCTACGAAGTTACAATTTAAATAAAGTGCTCAATTTGTGGACCAAAGTATTTATACTTCGTACATTGAATATAAATGTTATTTTAAGGTACATATTATAAGAATGCCAGGAAGTGTTGATTATGCTATACATATGAATGAAAGACTTCAAAGCTGGCGGTGTAATTGCGTGAGATAAACTGAGATATCAGTTATTTATTCGTTTTGTGGGTAGTCATGAATTTAAGAAACCAGTATATTTATTTTGATCATTGAATATTGTGTTAATTGTCGAAATCTTAATTATTACGATTAAGCTACTTGGTGCAGACAGTGAGTCAAGGCTTTCGCTTTGATAGTAAATGCATGTAAATATCGTTTACAGAATCATCATTTTCGATCTTTTATATTTGATATTTTATTTTGAATNTTTTGAACACAAGCGAAACAAAAGTGCTTTTTAAAAAATAATTTATTTAAAACATCACTAGTTCCTACGACTATAATACTAAAAATACGAATTCGTCTGTGTTTTACACGTTCTGTAGGCTATTTGTTTATGACAACATTCTATTTTATGCTTAGTTTCATAATAGTGTGATATTAAACAATCTGGGGTAGATAAGGTAGCTTTAGTGGAATGTGTATATATAAGTGTGTAATACAAATAAGCAAATAAGATTCTACTGTGTAAGAGAAGCTTTAACATAATGTGTGTCTAGAATTTTCTGTAAATATTAGTTGTGATAATATGTCTTGCTGCCATGTTTACAATCTCCTGTCTTCCTACAACACGATACTAAGAAAGTATTTACAAAGCGAGCAATAACTACAACTAACATAAAACTATACATACAGAATCATTCATACGCAATATTGTTTGCCATTGTCTGGTAAAAGTGATTTTTGGAGCAGTATGAATGAAAACTTGTGACCGATCTGGTCACACTATCATGACTGAATATTGTAAATAATTTGTTTTATATTAATAAAATTAGTTTTGATAAACGCAACGTGTTTTATTAAATGTTGTTTATAAAATATTTAGGTATAACCAGTTTTGATTAATCAGAACAGCTTTTTCGATGCACGAATAATAATACATTTATCAATATAGGCACACAGCGAACTTTAACAAGTTCAATTAATATTTGAATACGCCACAAATTCAACAAAAACAGACATAATTTTCATCAGGATAATAAAATAATACACATCGACCTTTGGAAATAACAGATTCACCTTTGCTTGTCCAACAACCATCGCTTATGCCGATTTTTTTTTTCAAAAGGTCGACATGTATGAATTTGTACTTACTAACAAAACGGTAAGTACTAGTAGACTACAAAGGCAATTTAATCACAGAAAAAACACTTGATAAGTAGGTTATATGTATTACAAGAGTAATCATATTTGCGACTGTGAGTAAAACAAAAGAAAAGGCAATCTTATGACGTATGACGAAGCAAATAAGAGCATTCTTGTCGCGCGCGATAAAAACTTCACTGTAAAGTTGATAGTTCGTACTTTTACTTGTGTTCTACACACAGTTGCAAAATTTGTGTCATATAAATCAAAACCTAATTACTAATCAATAAAATCATTGCTTATGATTTGTTATGGATTTTTGCTAGCATTTGGCTACAGAATAAAATCAGATCTTTGTTGTCAAACCTCTCACTTATGTAGTCTTGTAGAAATGACAAGTCTTTCTGTCTAATTTGCTCACTTGAAGCTTCAGCATTGCTATGCTTACTCAATATTCGCGTAATCAGCGATTTTGTATTCGAATTCGTAACATTCTTCATAAACAGATCTGTTACTGTTTCAAATGACAATCTCTCTGCAATTCGTTGTTTTGCAGATTCTTCTAAGTTTTCTCCAAGTGTCTCCACAAAGTCAGGTCTCTGTAAAAGTAACGAAATATTACAGTATTTGTCAAAATCTGTAAAATATAACCGAATATTAATAAAATACCTTACCTCAGCAATACATGATGCTACCAAATCCTTGGTAGATTTGACTCCACTTTCGTCAGTTTGTGCGCCGATATGAGCAATAATCTTCTCATCTGTTTGTACACAACCTATCGCTACAGGTACTTCATTAGTTTGTATTTCAACATCAGTTGATACAGTACCAAAGGTCTGGGTGTCGATATCTATCTTATTAACAGCTACGACTTCAGGGGAAATATTCTTTTCCACAGGTTCAATAAACATAACAGGAGGTTCAATTCTTTCTGCGATTTTTCTCGCATAATCATTGAGCACTCTCTTAGCGACTTTTACCTTTGGTGCTTTTATACACAATCGGTTCACTTCGAGTTCAGTCTTCTTTGCAAAATCACCGACAGTCGCTATTTGACCTTCCAATTCTTTCAAGAACATGGTTTTCATAGATGCTGATGAGAGCTCGGCAGCAATATTATCAATCGGATCATTACAGTCAACTAAATCAGGACAAATTGGGTCGACATCATTCATATCACTATGCTTTATAATCTCCACAGCCGGCGTCTCGTCTAATGACATAGACTGAGTAACATCACTCGTCGTTTCACTATCATTAAAACTTTCAACAGTCTTTGTGAGTGCGTTATCGAGTTTGAACACAATATCAAGTCTTTTAGGCGATTTAGGTACAATTTGCGAGCGCAAGTTTTGTCTCTCCTGACGTTTCAATGCAGAGTTCGAAGGAGATCTGACCCCACATGGTTCTATGTACTTCTGTACAGCAATCGTTGTGGATACCGGTGGGTCGTGGAAGCTTACTCTTTTCCTCTGAAAAATGAATACGTGGTTACTTACACCATTCCAAAAAGGCCACAATAAAAAAAATAAGATAAACTTGCTAAGGCTACTTACTTTGCTGGCTGATGAAACCGTAGCGTCGTCAGTTATTTCAGCTAATTTTCTTTTCAAAATAGGACCCGACGGACTGCATTCAGATGTCGGTAAAGACCTCTTGAACTTTCAGGAAGTTTTCACTGTTTTCACTGTCGTCATTATTCTCGCTGGTATCGCCAACAGAGTTGTATAAAATCCTCAGGTTTCTCCTCGCAGGTGTTGTGGACGGACTCTTCTTAGGCTCTTCAGCTTCAGATCTTTCGGTGTTCATGATAGTTTGAAGTCTATCAGGCACACACAGGCCCAACATTTGTGCCGCTCTGCCGCCCGACCGAACTTGAGGTCTGTTCTTTTTGAGGGACAAAGAGGAACTTGGACTTGAGTTATTATTGCTCGCATTTTCTTCTCTGGGTGGAGATAAATCCCTCTTATCTGGCGAAACTTTGTCTTCAGTGAATATCTCAGGCGAATTACACTTCTCGAAAGGCTCCCCATTACTTTGAACGGGAGATGATAATTTTATAACTACATAGTCGCTACTCGTTTCTGGCGATGGAGACTTTTTGTCTCTGACAGGGCTCAAAGTTTTTATCGGCGATATTTCTAAGGTGTTGTTGAGAAAATCTTTCTTTCTCTGCGCTTCGTCTTTGAACGGCGATGAAGCTGTGTTGGCTGCGTCAGCTTTTACGCTACAAATAACAGATGATTCGTTTATGGTCGTCGTGATTTCGTCTTCGGTGTTACAACCCATCATTTGGACGTCACTAACTTCAGTGGTATCTACAGCCTTAATGGAATTCACTTTGTTTAGTGTGGGGCTGGTCTCTATTAAATCGGCGGGATTCATGGGCTGAGTGTCTGCTTCAGCGATTTCTTGAGTTTCTGAACTGATCACAATAACATCGTCATCGTAAACAATAATAACATCATTGGAATCATCTTTGCTTTCAATATCTTCAGTGTGTATAGGCTGTGTATCCATGTTTTCTGTTAATTCTAAGTCAGTCTTATCAGTTACGGCGGTTTTGTTTTGAGGCAGTATGCTGTCATCCTTGCTTTCTGAATCTAAAGTTTTGTTGGTCATAACTTCATCATTATTGGTGGTTAATAAGTCTTGAGTTTCGAAAGGACCTACCGACGGAGATAAGGGTACTTTATGTACCATCACCGATACCTTTTTCAGAACACTTTTTATAGGCTTCACTGAAATGGTAGTGATTGAGGAGTCTTGAGAACTTTCTATGACATCTTCAGATAAAGGAAGATCATCTGATATTTCCGAGTAATTCTCCTGACTCTCACTAATTGTAACAGAAGTGTTGTCAGGACTAGTTTTAGTTTTATCCTTTTTTAATGTTTTTGGAGTCGTTTTTGCATCTACTTTCGATTTATTAAGTTTTTCCGCCAAACTTTTTCTTCTTGTATTGTTCAATAGTGTATCTTTCATTGAATTATTTAGATTTTTCCTTGTCATACGTTTTTCTGTTTGAATTTTCAGGAAAGGATGCCCTTCAACTGTATCTATAGCCAACTCTTTTTCGATTCGCGATTTTTTGACAGTACTTCTCCTAGTCAATTTTGGCTCAAGTGTTTCTTGTTTTCTTTTTGGTGTTTTATCTATTTTAGCTTTATCATTGGCTGAACTGCCTTCACTTGGTTTATTTTCTTCTTTATTAATAATCGCTAAATCTTTTTTATGGTCGCTAATGGGTTCAACAAGTGCGTCTTTATTAGTAGAGTCATCTTTGACAGGTTCTTCTTTCGGAGGTGATGGGGTATCTTTGGCCTCTGATAGTTCAATAACTTCTTTATTGTCTGATAATAAGATAACATCGGATTCCCTCTCGACTGGTTCATTGTTTTGAACTTCAACGCTCGACGTCTGTTCTGGTGACACCTTCTGACGTTCGTCTTCTGCATCCATTTTTTTATTTTTTTCATTGTTATCGGTTATAATAGCAGCTGAGTCTAATTTATTGAATTCTTCAACATGCGGGGTTGTATCACATTGAAGTAGCGGCGTTTTATCTTCAGACGGAGCGTTTTCAATTACAGCAACCGTATGTATTACGCTGGAATCTTGACTTGAAGTTGGTGAAGACTTTTCATTTTCAGTCTTACGATTTTTCAGCACATCATTTTCTGCCTTTGAAGTATCATCTTTTTCAAGCTCATTCTCAATAGGCGGCGTTGGTGAACAGGAGGAATCATTCTGACTTGAAGACCGTCGTCCTCTTTTTAGAGGAAATATCTGCACATCATCAAATTTTTTAGGCTTTCTTTTGACACGAGATGGTCTTTCCGAATTAATTTTAGGCGGCGCCGAGTTAGCCAAATTACTACTGTTATTACTACTACCTTTCAACGTGGGAGTTTTAGGAATATTTTCAATCTGAATAAGACTTTCAGATAAATCTTTACCATCCTTTTGTCCATTAGATTTTTCTATTAAATTCCTCACATTACGAAATACTCTGTCTTTCAAAGCCATTCGAGGTGATTTTGGATCTTTTGGAGTGGTGGTTTGTTTAACTTTATTTAGATCGCCACTTGATTTTTTTTCTACATTAACGTCAGTAACAGGTTTCTCTGAGAATATGTTCTCTATTATTTTAGGTACAACATCAGAACTGGGCATCTTTTTGAGCATTTCTGTTACATTGTGAGAATCGGTGGATTTGCTAGCCGAAGTTGACTTACTACTTGTAGAGGATGAATCCTGTGAATCAGTTTTCCAAGTGGCTAACTTAAATTCATCCTGAGATTGAGATAAGTCTTGATACAAAGCTGGTATATCCTCTCGCTTCTTTTGGAATTTTTCTTTTTGATTTTCAGTTAATTTTCTGGGGTTAAACTTCCAATTAGATTTCACGACTACAAACTCTTCACCATTTTCAACTACAGTATTTACAATGCTAGTTTCTTTTTTCCTTCCTTTTTTTACAATTAGTTTAACGTCAGGCTCTGCAAATTTTTTGTTAGTTACATTTTCACCTTTCACAGCTGGCTGCTCAGATTGTTTAGTACTTGTTTCTAATTTGCTAATAGCATCTTCAACTGGTTGTTCAGATTTTTTAGTAGTTGTTTCTAATTTGCTAATAGCGTCTTGAATTATTTTGAATGCAGGATCTGTTGACATTATTTTTGTTGAGTATTTTTCCAAAACTCTCATCACGCGTTTTTGAAGTGCAGTGTTTGTCTGTACTAACCCTGAGTCTACCAATACCAAGGTAACAATTGAATGATATGGGTTACTCAAAAATACAGGTTCAATAGAACTTAGTAAATCTTCAGTCATTTTCATTTTATCCTCTTCCTGCAATATTAGAATAGTAAATTAATAATAGTAGTTTTATTTAAAGATAATACTTTGTATTCTAGTCTCAAACGATAACAAACTTACATTTTCTTTAAATAGATTCAACATTTTAAATATGTTCTCAGCAACATGTATAGTATGATCCATAAGAATCTTGTCTTTCTCATATTGTGCTACTTTCAACAAAGATTTTTCTATTTTAATCAGCATATTCAGAATGCTAAATTCGATGTCACTTTTAATTTCATTTGTTATCAGCATCAACAATTCCACCGTTTTCGTGTACCCAACAACTGTAATAGAAAAAATAATATGTTTGTACTGCACATTTTTCTCCAGGGTTGCTCAACCAGCTATATTGATAGTGACATCATATTACTAAAGACGTCATCATGCATCGGTCTAAGCAGCAAGTCACCCTAGTTTCCACATTGAAGGTAGAATGTGCAATAAATAAATGTTACTTCCACACTTGATCTTTAAATGAGAATCAACGGTTTATCGCTGATCAAGACCAAGCTTTTGCATTTTTTTTTAAATATATTTTTTTAAATTCAATTATTAATAACATCAATACTGAAACTCGTTGCACTTAAAACTAATTCAATTTATTATTACTAATGCAATAGCTTGCTCTAAAAACGATCGATACTGTCTCAATGTTTTTACAATGGTACTGGATGTTTACCATTACCACCAAGATTACATTGAGTGGGACTTTGGGCTGAGTCAGACTTGGCTACTTTCGACCGAAATGATTATGTATGCCTTTTCTAATCATTTGTCACTGTTTAATTATTAGATTACATAAGGTAATAAAACCTTAAAGCTGTAATGTAATGAATAAATAATAACACACCTGAAACACTTTCCAATTCGTGCTTGAGAATCACCATACACGCCTGCAGCTTCAAGTTAAGGTTAGTGGTAATTTGAGTGCTCCACAAAGCATTAGCGATGTCATCTTTAGCATTATCATCTGCTTTGGGATAGATATAGTCAATCAATTTGCTCCACACTTGACCACAATAGACAATCTGTAAAGTTTAGAAAATATAATAATACTTCATTAAAGTAAGGATAAGTTAATTTTATGTACATAATGTGACATTATTCTGCACCGATTTACTTACATCTACAAAAAAGTTTTTAGCTTCGAAAGGCCACAACACTAAACTATTAATATTGCTGACATCTTCATACTCCAGCTCATAAACACACTCAGCAAGGGGTGTCAGGAGAAAAGAAATGTTACTCTGTGAAACTGTGTCATCCAAATTTAACAACCAGGACAATAGTTTAGAAGAACTTTCAATTTCCTTGTCCAAAATATAACTTGCCACAGGCTTCAAGGTATTTGAAATAACTTTTGTATCACATCTGGAAGATATTAAAGTTAAATTATGCAAACATCTGAATTATTATTATTGGTAAAAAACGTAGGAACATCAGCAATAAATGAATTTTTATTCCAAAAAGTATTTAGCTTTAAAGTCTATGCTATAGGACGAAGTAGTTCTAAAAAAACTTACGTTCTGTAATAGGTGCTGAGTGATTGATCCAGAAGTAATAGGATCATTTTGAAAATAGGACCTTGTTTATCTTGAAGTTTTAGGAGTCCTTCGGTTTTTTGGTCAACAAATAATGAAGCAATCCAGTGGACACCAACATCGGCACATTTAATATCCTGAAATAAATTATACTGTAATATTATTATTATCATAAATAGAATTGTGCAACAATTACATTGTTCTGTAAAAGATTATACCTTTATGCAAGTTTGAACTATAGCCAGGAATTCTTTAAAAATATCATTCCTGACATTGTTATCAGGCAGTTCAGCAACAATTGCTATAAATGATCTCCAAAGACAAGTCATTTGTTTGATTGTTATTCCAATGTTTTCTTTATAATTTACAATTGCAACTTTTAAAGAGTACATCCAATCATTCAAAAAATCTATCAAGATGTTTGTAGAAATGATTTTTCCATTTAATTTAGGGACATTCACACATCCAGTACAAGAGGAATGGCCAGCTAGAGCAATTAACATTTCCAGCGCCTGCTTTTTAGTTTCTACTGTCAACAATCCTGGAACGAATCCAGGTTTTTGTTTTCCAAAGCAGAAGTGTAGAAATGAAATTATTATTGTCTCAACAAAGTTGCCCAGTCTTGATTCAAATTTTTGTATTAAATGCCACCATGTTTTCATTTTAGCCAGCGCTGTGGCTTCTACTTTTGCATTATTTGATTGAAGGGGTATTATGAGTAATTTCAGTCTTTTTACTATATAACTTTCATTGGTTTCTGTATGAAAATTATCTATTAAAACATCCCAGCACTGGAATGCTCGACATCTGTTAGTCACATCCAGTTTGAAAGCTGTTTCCACAACTGGGAGCATAGAATTAATGGGACTACCCACTTTGCTCATGATCCGTGTGATTTGGTTTTTCAGCAATCGTATGCATACTATCCATAATCTGTGCCAATTTTTCCTACCATTTACAAGCATTTGCTTCATTGTAGCTGGATACCTGAAATAAATTATTTTTATTAAAGCAACCTGTTTACCTGAAATCTACCAGTATTCAAACAATTAAATAATATTCTACTACTACTCAATGCCTTTTTAAATTGATATCCATACTAAAATATGTAATTACAGTAGAACGCCGATTATCCGAACGCCGATTAACCGAATCGCCAATTATCCGAATCGGTCCTAAGCGTAATATAAAAAAATAAATACAAGTAATTTTTGTTTTTTTTTTTTTTTTTGTTGGAATTAGGACAAATTTCAACTGAGCGATTTTGTAGCAGTTCTACAATAACGCCAAGTAGAAATATATCTGTTTGTTAAACTAATTAAAGTGTATTCTATGTGTGACAGTAGGTTTTTCGCTATTATCAGTCTATGTCCGATTATCCGAATTTTCGATTATCCGAATCGACCCCGGTCCCAATTAATTCGGATAATCGGCGTTCTACTGTAAATGTATAAATAGCTAAGTATTTNAAGTTTTTAATAGGTAGTGGTAAATTATTAAGCAAGCAGCAAAAGAGGTATTATCCAAAGAGTTAAAACACGAGTATACTTACTTTTGAGGGTTGTATATGCATTCCATGAGTATTTGCCACTGAGTATTATCATCGTAATCTACTGCTACTAATGCATCAGTTAGAAGCTCCAATGTATCTAATGGTGTAGCATTTGGCAAATCATTGTCAACTCTGTTCGCAGCAAATATAGTGGGTATAAGTTTAGAAAACCAGACATTCAAGTTGGCTTTCACAAATGCTTCTTTCTTTTCTGGCGGCAATATCTTTAGCAACTTCAGAATTATTGAACAGGGCTGAAAGATTACAAAGTTTTTAATATTACCAAGAATTTTAAAAAACACTTAAATAGCTATTATAAAAAAAAAATACAAACCAATAGTTGTATTTCCAGTGGTAGCAGATGTTGGCAATATAGGTTAATAACTTCTATTATTTCTGTAGAATTCAAAGCCACTTCCGTAAGAGTTTTGTTTGGGTATAAATCCAATGTCTCAAAACACAATGTTTGTAGATTTTCCATGTTATTCAGCAATGCTGTTGTTTTGATTGTGTTTAAAATGGCAGTTATAGATGGTACTAAATTTGGTAAGGTGAGATGGTCTTCTGCCTGCAATAAATCAATTTTTGTAAATCACATTTATATGTTAATTAAAGTTTTAGATAAGCTGTTATCTGAGATGCTCTATAAAATTGTATACTATCACATAAATCACTACTGGGTAATCAAATCAAGAGATAGAGACTTACTTTGATTTTTTTGAGGATTAAATAAATGATTTTTATTGCAACAAGGCAGCACTTTTTGTCCTCATGAAGCTCAACCACACAGAGAGCCAATATTCTGTTCAGCACTGGCAAACTAACATCAGTGCCATTTTCTAGTGCTTTCATAAACACTTTGTAATGTTGACTTCGGACTAATGGAACCTCCATTATCGGATCCTCTAAGAGTTCCAGAGTCCTCTGGATGTCTACTGCAGTTTCTTCTGGCATATCTAAAGATAAATAGAAAGGTTCTCAATCATGAAAATGTATTTCATATTGACACATTTTACAAACTAAATGTCGCGATTAGTCGATTAAACCGATAAACCAACGTGTTATGAACGACTCCCGTTGCATTGTGCTAATTTTGCAGGACCACAGTGCAAGACACTTGATATGTCAATACATCTACTTCTACTTGTGTAGTTGTTACCTCTACCCCTCTACCAAATCTTTGGTTTTGTCTTTAAATTTTAAACATTATGAAACTATAAAATGCAGACAACATTCTATATGATAATCGTAAATAATTCTTATCAAATAACGTACAAAAATCAAGAAAAAAACATACGAAGCGGTCCTACAAGTACCATCATTGAACAAATTGCCAATGTAAGTATATGCACAATCTATAAAAATTTGAAGAAATATAGCGACAGTGAGTAATACACGTGTAGTTACCTGTTTTTTTAATGTAATCCTATGATATTTAATCGCAAAACTGATAAAATCATGACACAAAACTTAACAACGAGAACGGCAAAGAACGATTTTTTGACGTTTGATGCATTTATGGCGCGAATGTGTGGTTATAATAAAAACAAGTGTCAAAGGAGTTTGATATTATACTTCTTTTACTAAATTCTATACATTATACAAAAAAAATCCAAAAAAATAACCATGATCTCAATATTATTTTATTGACCGAATTAGTTAGGTATATGGAATAAAATGTTGTAAAATCATGGGAAAATTTTAATGTAAAGAAGTTGTCAGCTGGGCCATAGAATTTGTAGATAGTCTGTGGTACTGGTCAACTGCGCGCCATTTTTACCCGACTACGGCAAAGCAAAAGGGGGGTTATGATTTTTTAAGGTTCCGTAGTCATGACAAGGAACCCTTATAGTTTCGTTATGCCCGTCTGTCTGTCTGTCTTTGCCTGGAAACTATTGGCACTAGGGAGCTGTAATTTTGTGGAGGTATGTTTAATCACGCCGACCAAACGGTAAATACAATTTTGAAGAAAAAAATTGTTTTTACTTTAGTTCCCCTACATGTAAAGTGGGGATGAATTTTTTTTACGTCTTCTACCCTATCGTGTGGGGTATCGTGGATAGGTCTTTTAAAATGGCTTAGGGGTAGAAAACCTTCCTCGTACTTACTTATTTACTTTTAAATTACTTTAGTTACTTAATTTTATTGTTTTGTAGCTTATTGTTAACTGCGAATTGAAAATATGGAAAAATATGAGTTGTTTGCTAAACCCAGTTATTATTTTGACTTTCCTAATTTTTACACAAGAAAGAAAATATAAGTGCCTTATCAATAAACTTGAGTCTACTAAGCCATAAATAGCATGATCGAAGCAATGTAAGTAATAATGTTAATATGCAGCTGCATTAGACAGTAAAAAATTGCTTTCCAAGTTTGCGTGCGAATTGCTTGTTGACAAACATTCTATGTGTCTGCCTGTGTACGTGTAGGTAGCATCTTCTCGAATCGTTGCGCACACACGCGCCTGCTTATTTCAAGTCAGGTGCCTGCCACTTGCCAGTGCTGGGGCGTGCGCATTAGCTCATACGCCTCCCGCGATTGCATCGCGCTTGTCGAACCTCCGCGCATCTCGTGACGAGAATAACAATCGGTGATTCGAACGTAGCACATAAAATACGACTCCATATGTGGATAGGACTTGCAGACCTGTGGTAATGGTGTTCAAACAAACTAAACGGTGCGTCAGTGTGCAAAATATCCTAGCGGAGTGTAGACTTTTCTGAGTGTAGTGATGCCGGGAAACGCTGGAAGCCCTTACTGGGCCGCTGTGGACTTCGACAGTGAAGGAGACGATGACCAGTCGCCGCCTCCGAACCACCGGGTGTACTTAGACCCGTGGGATACGGAGGCATATGGTATGATGCAGGGGGAGACTACAGCGGAGTCAAGTCAAGGGGAGAATTTTAACTCTTTCGCTGGGGAGCCGGTTAGTGCCAGCTTTTATTACGTCCCGACTAAGAACTACGATTCGTCGGAAGAAGCGCCTGTGCCGCCGCCTCGGAGGATCACTCCTCCCGAAGAAGTGCCGGACTACGGAGTGTATGGACGGAAGTTAACCAGATCCATGATAACCGACATTCAGCCTGATATGGCAATTTATGGGGAAAGAGTCATCCGTAAGTATCCTTGTGGTATTTTAACTATATCCCTCTAACTTCAATTCCTACTTACCTACATAAATTAATGTCGCTATCACATACTTAAAACTTAGGCTAAATTGTTTGAAAACAAAACAACGGCGTTACTTACGGTAGTATTAAACGATAATACGATTACTACTAGTCTTTTCGTGCTCAGGGTACAATTACTTATTTAATTTAATCGTTTAAGAATACGGACCTAATATGAAATCTTTAGAATCCTATTCAAGGTACACCTACTAAAAGACGTAAGTAGGCTCGCTATAGATCTAAAGCATTAGGTATTAAGACCAGAAAGTTAGGTATATTATCAGTAATAGGTTAAGTTAATTAAGAACTTAGATTTTTTACAGAATTAACAACTTCTTATCTGGCTTGCCTATCAACACGCATTTAAAATTCGTTTAGTGATATGTTTTTACCTATTCCACAAATAGTAATAAAAGTGATAGATTTCTTTAAAAACTGGTTTTGTATCTGTACCATCATTAACATTACTTTTAAAAACTTCAATGTATTCCGTATTTTAATTCCATTTAAAAAAACCTAGTTGAAAACAAGTTTAGGAGTGACTTTCCAATAGTTATAAGTATTTTTAAATAAATGAGGGTAGGCTAGGAGGCTACTTAATTAATGCGACAGAGAAGTCATTTACAAATTACATACTTGTAATTTATTTTATCCTATTAATTACATAAAATATTATCAGCATGATAAAAGATCAACCGTAAAATCTGAATAAAACGTAAATAACTATATTATGTTTTTCAAACGTCAAACAAAACGAGGAAGATTGTCGCTTGCTGCTAGTGAATGCAAGAAACTAAAGACACTTCCTCGTGTTACAAGAACATGATGTTTGCTGGAAGTGACATTCGGCGTAAGACAATCATTCTATTCTATTCTAAAACACCATGAAGTTATGAAACCAGATACCCAACCAGGCCACACGATTTAAGATCCAACACCATTTGCTGTTAATTTTCGTCTGGGTGATTATTATATTTTACTTAAAAACCGGATATACTTAGATGTAAAAACAGGGTGGAATTTTGTAATGCCACCTGGAGGGAAAGTACTCTTAATACTGCAGATAGAAAATTTTACTGAAAGAAAACATTCCTTTATTTTTGAAAAGAAAGAGAACTGCATTCATAGATTTTCGAATTTTTTTCGAAAATTCACTACCATAGTCTTGTACAATTTTCTGTACAAAATTAAAATAATTTAAGATTTTATGGATTTCCTTTCATTTGATTTATCAAGTTTGTTAGAGCGATTTCATCTTTATACTTGACCCTAACGATCGATGCAATAAAAATACAGGATGTAATATTTAACAGATTTTAGTTGGTTCGATTCCCGGGTGTGGCACGCAATTTTTTGGTAATCTTTGAATGCAGTTCTATTTCCTTTCAAAAATAAAGGAATGTTTTCTTTGAGAATTTTTTTCTAGCTACAATATTAAGAGTACTTTCCCTCCAGGTGGCATTACAAAATTCCACCCTGTATAATAGTTTGTATTTTTAAGCAACCGCGCTATTATAAATTAATGGCTGCTTAAAATATTATAACTTTATTCATAAAAACCATTCAAAAGATAAAAATTACACGATGCGCTGTAATTCAATGCAAAACCACTTTCAAATCACACTTAAAGCCGGGTATTCTTATTAATCCACATTTCAAAAAGATCATTAAATAAATTAACACAGTTTATTTACGCAACTGGATGACGATTTTTAACGAGAAAACTGCATAAAGTGACTGTTTCCAATTCACACATCTTAAAAGTGTTCGTCAATGCATAAGTAAAGTACTTATAGGACTCATAAATAGGACAGATGGAAACATTAATTTGGCGCACTTCCACAGAATACATAATAGTAACTTCTGGCTTAGTGGTTGGCGTACGTACGGTCTACTATTCTAAGCCAGAGGTCGCGGATTCGATTCGGTCTTAGACAAACCAAGGGTTCGATACATGTTGCACTGTAAAATGTCCAATTGAACGTCCTTTATTAATTTATTTATTTATGACTAGCTTTACGCCCGCGGCTTCGCGTGGAATTTTGCCTGTCACAGAAAAACTTTATCGCGCACGTCCCTGTTTCAAAAACCGGGATAAAAAGACTATCCTATGTTCTTTCCCGGGACGCAAACTCTCTATGCCTTTCATCAAAATCGGTTCAGTGGTTTAGGTGTGAAAGAGAGACAGACATACAGACAGACAGACATACAGACAGACAGACAGAGTTACTTTCGCATTTAAATATTAGTATAGAAGTATTTATTTCCAATTAGCAGACATCATTAGGTAACAGTACTTGCTCTACCCTAAGGCCTAAACCAGGTAATTTTAATTTCAGGAGACAGAAGAAGGTCCATGTACATAGAAGAGCCGATATACGCGCCACATCCAGTACTCTACGAACCTGTATACGGCCACATACCACCTCCTCCCGGGTACATGCCTCCGCCCCCAAGATCCCGTATGTCTTTGCCTCACCACCCTGAGTATGTTATGGCAAGCCTTGGTTACAGCAAGCAGAGACGGCATTCCAGGTGAGACACTAAAATAACGAAAAAAAAANTTTATATAGTGATAATAACAAAACAACTACATTATGTGTATTAACTTATCTATAAATGTTAAGGTTATATGTTTTATACTTTATTGGAAGTCATATAGGAGTAATGTAGAATGAAAAAATTGAAAATTATAATTTCTCCTAAAATAAAGCATAAAGTGACTGGCCCTTTTAGACATAACATAATTAATTAATAACCTATAATTTACACTAATAAAGTATTCAAAAGCATCTTAAAAAAGTTACGGACAAAATGACGTCGAAAATATACAGATTTTTATGGAATGACCCATATATCAAAGTTGATATATATCGGATATATATCATAAATATCCGATATTTTGATATTTATAATAAATATCGGATATTTTCGAACCCTGTTTATTCATAAAAACCATTCAGAAGATAAAAATTACACGATGCGCTGTAATTCAATGCAAAACCACTTTCAAATCACACTTAAAGCCGGTATTCTTATTAATCCACATTTCAAAAACATCATTTTAAATAAATTAGCACAGTTTATTTACGCAACTGGATTTTCAACGAGAAAACTGCATAAAGTTACTGTTTCCAATTCACACATCTTAAAAGTGTTACTTATAGGACTCATCATATTATTATGAAAACATTAATTTGGCGCACTTCCACAGAATACATAATATAGTAACTTAGGATTGGCTTAGTGATTAGAATTTAAATTGTATTTATTGAAAAATTTATATGAAAACTAATTTTTTTTTATGTTTTCTTACACAATGTATTTTGATTATTGGAATAAATGTCTTATGCATTGTCTTTTCAATCCGACGAAATAGCCCTCCCATTTAGGACCATGGTGACCTTCCATGCAAGTTAAACAACACTGTCATACTCTACATTGCTAACTAGACTTCTATTAAAAAGATTTACTACTAGTATAATTTTGCTCTGAGAGTACGTACGGTCTATACTATTCTAAGCCAGAGGTCGCGGATTCGATTCGGTCTTAGACGAACCAAGGGTTCGATAGATATTGCACTGTAAAATGTCCAATTGAAAGTCCTTTATTCATTTATTTATTTATGATTTCCAATCAGCTGATTCATTGGGTAACAGTACTTGCTCTACCCTAAACCAGGTCATTTTAATTTCAGGGGACAGAAGAAGATCCATGTACATAGAGGAGCCGATATACGCGCCGCATCCCGTACTCTACGAGCCTGTATACGGCCACATACCACCTCCTCCCGGGTATATGCCTCCGCCCCCAAGATCCCGTATGTCTTTGCCTCACCACCCTGAGTATGTTATGGCAAGCCTTGGTTACAGCAAGCAGAGACGGCATTCCAGGTGAGACACTAAAATAACGAAAAAAAATTAGATAGGTTCAACAGCATTTTTGTTGCAAAATGCCGTTATTTTATTTTTTCCTAAACGTGGGTACTTGGTAGCTAAACAAAAATGAAAGAATGAACCTTCTAAAAAATTGTTTTTGCGAAGGTCGAAATATGTGTAAGCAATTATATCTTAGACTGACTCTACCTCTTATTAAGAAACTGTTTTGTTAACGTTACGTTAATGCTTTTGCAGTTTTAAATCTATCGCGTCATAAAGAAAATGTATATTTGATTACCCGAACTAACACCAGCGATTTGCTTACTGTACTTATTTAAATTAAGGAAAACAGTAAGCATCAAGGATAAAAATGGGAAGTTATTATAAAGATTAGCTTTATGCAAGTTAGTCGTTAATTACGTAACATATGGAATTGTCGATTACAATCAATTATTAATTTTGCATTTTAACTGACCAAATATTAGAATGGCCAGACTGTAGCCAGGCCTAGCGGTTCGCGGACCAGCATCTATTCTGATGCCAGAGGTCGCGAATTCGATCCTCGCTCAATGCATTCGCTGAAGATGGGGCTTCAATTTTGATGGATCCGCCTAGCTTCTTCATAATCATAACCCACGCACGCAACTAACTACAAATAAAGACAAGCTAATATGGTCGCGGTAGCGGTAACTAGGTAGGTAGCATGCAATAATCATACGCAAGCAAATAATTAGGCAATCATCAAACTAAAATGCAAATCACAACCTTGTGTCTTCTCCTCATATAAGTACAGGCCGATTGATGGCTGCATGAGTTTCAGTAATGTCATTGACCTTGACAATTGCGGTGAAAAATGCTGAGTTAGTAACCACAAAATTTATGTCTGCGCAAATAGTCGTAACGAAGTGTGGAACGCATTATCCATCGTTACGCGTCTTGCCCACGACACCCTCTGACTTCAAAGAGACGAGGAATGCGCGCGCGCTCTTTAAACGTAATGAGACGAATAAATGGATAGCTTGCGCGGAAAACATTGTAAACGCGATTTCTATACTACACCGTTAATGACGAACATAATCTTCATCTAGGTATAAAATACTACACTCTCTCGCTCGATAGTGATATGCCATTAGATGTCTAGTATAATCTACTTACCATAATAGACTGATGCCCATATAAAGTTGTATTAAAGGCGAGAGTGTATGTTGTTATGTCATTTGATTCCGACAGCATTTTATTGCAAGCAGTTTGTTTCGTTAATTCGACAATCATGATTATTTTATTGTTATTATCACACAATAAGATGGTGAATTGTTAGATTGTAGAGATTAAAGTTACGTAAAAGGCCTTCCTCTCAATCGTTTTCCTTAATGTAGGTGAATCTTCCGTTGGTGGATTTATCATAAATATGGAGTTATTATGAAGTTATTCAGTACTTTATAAACTACTAGTTAAGCTACTTTATTTATTTTAGTGCCAAATGACAGGATTTAAATTATCTGAGTCATTTCAAATCAAATTCAAAACGCTCTTGATGCATAGCATGCTGAAACTTTGGATTTTTCCAACTCAGTTGCTTTACTTGTAAATATACATAACTAAGTATAATTAAAGGCACTTTTGCAAGACTTCTTACATAAAATATTTTTACTGATTCTTCGTCTCTACATCGTTCACGTTAACAACCGAGGGGCGTTATTTGTATTATAATAACAGAGCTCGTGTGAACGCGCACCAGTTTTTTGCTTCCTATAAATGAAAGTTGAACTTGTGAGAATCCAGCTTCTGTAGTGAAACTTGCTACCATTGACCTCGGGGTTAGCCTGACCGTTGATCTAACAAAATCTGCATAATCTGTGGTGACCTAATCGCACATAAAGTCTGGTATAAGTCTACTATGTAAAGTTACACGTTGGGGATTTTCTAAGAGAAATTGAAAGGAGATTAGAATTTTGCGTAAAAAGTTTAGTTAACCGTCATTTGTGTGGTCTAGTTGTAAGACCACCTGCTTCAGTTCCAGAGGTCCCAAGTTCGATTCCTGGTGGGGACCTAGATGTTTCTGTTCGGTTTGGTTGGTGGTAGGGCTTAATGTTCTAAGTCTGCGTGGCTAGTTACCATCACTTTACCTAAGTTTGTCGCCACAACAACAATGTTAACAGCATTGTTGGAGGAAAGTTGAAGGTAAAGTAGCCAGTTTCTCTGTGGTTGAGGATTCCGGGTGAAGCTCGCTTCCACCTTCTTCTGCACTTTCCATCAGGTGAGATGCAGGCCAAGAGGTTTCCTCGTTGTGGGTAAAAAAAAGATATAACTTGTACTGTAACGTTCATAAATCCAGTGTATTGTTGTTATGTAAGGTCTTCTGTATCAATAAACGTTTGCGTATGCCCGCTGCAGGAGAAAGCTTGCGATTACGGAATCTAATAAGTATGCAGTTTAGTGGAAATGCATCCAACGTGTTGCGATTTCGTTCACTGAACAAGTAACTAATTTGTTATCATGTTATATTTATTTAAAAGGTTTATTTTATACTTATTTTTTGTTTAGTCTACTTAGTATCTTATTAATTTAACTACTTACTTCTTCGGCTATTGATTGGAAGCCAATCCCCTTATGAGGTCTCTACCTCTTTGTCTCTACATAGGTAACTGCACGTAATAAAGTTTTAAATAAATAAAGCAAAGAGTGCTCTGTGTGTTACCCAACATAAACGTTGCTCGAGAAAAATGCACAATTACCTATATTTTCCTAAACCGGCGTACAATACAATTATTTCGGTAACACGCAACTTTCTAGCTCGAGTCACGTGAAACACTTTGTGAATTCAGCGGATAACTAGAAAGTCAGTCAAGCCACACATCGTTTAAAAGCCGTCATTAATTATAACATTGGCGAATTAGTGCGAATCGGAGTGGATAGGAAATCACTCGATTATTTAATCGCCATACCAACTAGGGTATCGTCTATTGACATGTATGAGCCATTGCACAATAGTGCTGTCGATGCATGTCATAGGGAAGATGAAACCAACACTTGACAGCAATTTTTAGCACACTGAAGTGCAAGTCAGCCCCACGTAATAGCCCCAAAAGTGGAGCATACGAATTAAAAGATGTTAGATTAACATACGAAATATGGATCTTATGATTACTCGGTGTGTCGTAACAATGAAGATGGTTTTTATTGTGGCTTGATGCATGCTTGGATTTTTAATGCGTGTTTTTCTAAGCCTTGTAGTTGTTATACCTACTTGACTACATACCTAGTTACTGCTTTCTAAAGCTGTTTTTCTTTTCTTTGGAAAATACATACGTTACGTTGGAAATTGTATCAAAATGTGAATCGCGTGGTGTTTTATTTACGTTTTTATTTGTTTTGCTTTTATATTGGAATCGTCTTCTGATTGGGGTTGCCGGTCAGTGAACTTTTACATCGTTGAAGTACCTACATAGATTTGATGGAAAATCTTGCGTTCCACGAGTACCTATACCTAGTCAAATCCAGAACTGTGTATTATAATAGAGCTTTGAATTCATAAATCCATTACCTAATATTGTCACAAATAAGGTAGCACTTTTCAAATCCTTCGCTTTCACTTACAATCCATTTTATAATCAAACTTTCCCTTCGAAGGTTGACAGACGCGTACGAGCATTTCGCGTACGAGAGCCTGTCTCCGGAATACGAGGACTGGGCGCGGCCGCTGCCCAAGGCTGCCCCTGACAACTTCCATCTGTCCAGGTACGGCCATCTTCAGATCGACTACTCCTGCAGTTGGAACTCTCTAGATAGACTTATTCGTAACCAGTAGTAGCTACGATATCGTAGTCGACTCTACAAAGCAGCAGGAGACATGTCGTCCCAACACTACTGCCCCTAGACAAGTGGCAAAATGTGACTTTGTAATGTCAAAAGATGGTCGAAAGGCCTTTTTTGTATGGAGTTACAACGGATTCGACTTCCGACCATCCGAAGTAACGTAGTGTGAGCAATATGACGCTGTTGCTGCGTGGATACGGCTAGGATAGGAACTTATACCTTTATTGTCTGTTGTATTTATGTTAGTGACCCTTGGTGACTGCCAAAGAATGTCTTAGAGACAAGTGTTGGTAACGAAGCTTAAGCTGAACGCACACCTAAATTACAATAGGCGTCAGATCTAAGAAATGAGCAAGGAAGGCGAAATTGCTATGGTAGGTATGGGACTATGGGTTCACCTTTAGTATGCTCTATCTTATCTCTTTTATACTTTTGTACTTTAGAAAGTTACTTAAGAGAGTCAATGAGCTTAGATATATTTTAAAATCATCTAGTATTAATTAATTTTTCATGTTGAGTGTCTACAGCATTGGCAGATACTTGATTACAAATTATATTTATTAAGGGATATGAAAGCACGTAAGAAAGCTGTGAACAATTGATGAAACTCTACTCTGGTAGAGCGTTATTAAAGTTAAATTTAAATATTTAGAACTTCTAAGTACCTTTGCACCAAAAATGGCACAAACTGCATTATACACCTGCTACAATCCAAAGTAGGTACCTTTAATTTTTTTTTGAAGGTAATGACACAATTTGTTCTACCTACCTACGAGTACATTATTTTATCAAGATACATTCCGCCCTTGTTATCAACTCGGTGTTTCTGTGAACTTAATATCTTCCCATGAACTCTCACCATGAGAAGTATGCAATATTTAAAATGGCATACAATAGGTGCATACAAAGCCGGTACCTGTGAAAGGTCAAGCATGAAGTTGTCTAAAAATAGTAAAGCATCTTAGATTAGATTTTTTTGAGTAACTATCTTACTTTATTAAAAGTATAATGATGTTAGATTTTAAAATATCTTATTTCATTGTTTTAGTTCAGCCTACATTTGTTAATGTAAATATGTAATTTTATACATAAGATATTATTAGTGTTGTAACTTAACATAATAACTAAATACAAACAAATTGTTAATTTTCACAAACTAGTTATTTTGAGGGTTCAATTATTTATAGGACGAAAGCATGTTCTGAAGTAACTTTTTTTAGAATAAGCCTAGTTCATGTATGTATGATTAATTAAAACACCAGTAAATCAAAATGATAAATTAATATAGGAACTTATAAAGCCAGGTTGTTATTCTGATTTATATGCGTTTTAATTAACGCAAGCGTTTAGAATGTAAAGTAAAAAATAAGTTGATTTGAGTTACTCCAATCGTTGTTTTAATTGCAAAAAATAAAGGCCAAAGATAAAGAAAACTAGAATTTGTTATTACTTATCCTTTCCCCTTTAGGTATTAATTTATTTATGACATGCGGTCTGCGGTCAGGTTAAAATACACACAATAAGTATTGGGGCTGCATTTATTTGATCCAGTATGACAATCCTTTATGCCTGCAAGTGTAAGCTCGATTAGTGGGATCAAGAGAACAAATAAATTGAGAATTTATTACTGTCCTGTCTACTCTTAAAAAACTGTTGTTCTCACATGCTACTTAGAAAGATTTCTGCGCGTTATGNTACTTATGCAGACTCAGGCGTTACGCAGGCGCAAGAGCGCGGTTTCTAGCATTATTACCTTCAGATTTCTATTTATTATCTTATGGTGTGGTTAGCTTTCGACATTCCAGATTATCGAGAGTCGTTAATGCTTTGAAGCATAATCCACACTTTCACTCAATCTTTATGATTACAAAGCACCCAACTTAACTAAGTGGCGTGGATATGTCGTGACAGTAAAAAGTATAGATAATATCAATGAAAGTGTATCGTAATTCCGTGCTGCTATAACATTATGAATAGTTGAGTTACTTACATACAAGAAAGCGCAACATTGTTGTCGGCTGCTGCAAATTCATTAGTTCCTATTTTAAAACCATTTATCCTAGGCTACATACACTGCTACAGCCATTCAGCGTCAGAAATAGCAGCACATCCTAAAGCACTTCATTCATACGGGTGGCCAATCCATAAACAATAGGTAATTTTAAGGTATTGAATATTTTATGACATGTGCACGGGAAATGTAGGGAACGTGTGCTGTTATACGTAACTTGTGTTCATTGGTTAATTAATTATTTATGCTGATATTAAAACAACAAGATGCCTATGTAATTATTTAAAAAAAACCATTTAAGTACTAATTCTTCAAATCAATTAGATTGCAAAAACGAAATGTCTTTTGTTTACGTTGAAAGACATTTTATTAAGTCGTAAAATAACAGTTGAGGCTGCCATAATAAAGTGCTAGGAAATGGTGATGGCCAACCACCAGAACGACCGCCTAGCTTTTTCAATTTATTATTCCATCTACACTCTACAGAATACAAGCTCGTTTGCTTTCTAGTGGTTTACTATGACATGATGTTTATACTTAAGTTGAGAAGGAAGTAAATAAAATATAAACCAACCAAAGGCAAACGAAAAGAAGCATCTTAGTAAGTTTTCAGTTTTTTTAATCCATTGAAAATCGTATTAATTGCGTTCTATTTTACACATGAGTAAACTTTTAAGTTAAACCGGATTTACAAAACTGTATTTCTAATAAGTAGATTTTGAGATTCTTTCAAGATTCTACGAGTATGTTTTGAGTTTAGATCTTTTTAATAACTCTACTACAAGCCAAATTTTCGACATTCAATTTTCCGGACGACCAAAATAAAAGTTTGTACTAAACCCTCGGTGTGAGTCTGCCTCGCACTTGACACGTTCTTTTAATGGACATAGTTGGGTTGTTAGCCTTTGTCTATAGTAGGAGAAGACTATTACAATGCTGATCCTATAATAACCAGGTCCCCATCACCCATTTAGTTGCCAATGGACTGGACCCTCATTAGAGACACAACGTTTAAATTAAACGCAACGCATTTCATTGGCTAACACATAACCACTCTGAAACAAAACGGTCACCCACCCAAGGACTATCACGCCTAGAGTTGCTTCATACAATCGTTTGTCTAAGTATGCAGCCTGATTAAAATTCGTGCGCATATTAGTCTCAAAATCATTAACCAAATTAATAAAAGCAATTCACGCTTCAAGGGATGTACGGACGAAAGTACATCAAGCTGTACACTGCGGCATCTTTATGTAGTTGCAATAAAGGCTATTTTACAACAAAAATTAATAGTGCTGAAGTGCTGTCGACTATACTTGTACGTTCAGATCTAGGCCATAATGTAACTTATGAATAGTAATGGTGATGTATTTTCATAACCGCATTCTTATTCAGTAACATCATAGCAAACAAAAGTTAGATTCCCGACAAAAGATAAGAGTTAAGTAATTAACTTTTCGTTCGAAATAATGATTGTAATGGTCATGTTGCTTGGAATTCTTGAGAAATATTGAAATAGCCGGAAGAAACTTACATAACATCTTCTGTAACTTCATTTGTGTACTTAACATGATTTTTCAAATGTAGGTAAATCAACTGTCTCTAACGGAATTTCAACACCCATGTGATTCAACCCACTACGAAGGGCAGATATGCTCTTAGTTACTATTGATAGGTTTTTAAATCACTATCTACCAATAACAGGACACCCAATTAACGTAAGTAGAATTTTATTTAACAACAGACACGGAGAATAGTAAAAAAGTATCATGCTGTAATTAATTCTTTATCAAAAACAATAAGGAACAAAAGTTAAACAAGTCATTGTCAATTTAGAAATCTTGAAAATCTTTCTCGTTGTACAGCTTCCGCTTCTTCGTTATGTTGAAGCCTTTCTTCTCTGCCTTCGGTGGGCCTGGGCAGTGCGTTTTAGGCCCGTAGTACATTACCTGTAGGGGTACAGGTTTTGGTGCCTTTTGGGTCATAGCTGGCGAGAATTTCGATTTCCCCTCATAAACAGGCTCCAAGTCTACCGAACTGGTTTCGGGATACGGGCTTCGGTTCACAGAATATGGCCGCTCCACTTGGCTCTCATACTGGGAAGGGTACGAACTTTGCGCCAGGTACTGCTTAAACTGACTCTGCTTGATTTTCTCCTCAAGCTCTTCTAATCGCTACAAAAAATGGACTAACTATAGTGAAAGTGGATTGTCTCATAATGGACTATAATTAAAGCCTGAGCGGTCTCATTAATACTCTCATGTATTGTGTTTAGCCATTCATTTCGCGTAAGTACGAGGGAATGCATAATTGTAACATTGGGAATTAAGTTTTTCGATGATAATTGTGTGAATTCCTTTATTCCAGCTGATTAGTGCGCGGTTTCAATGGCTCGAATGTTTTGTCTATCATCGTTATGCAAAACGAATTAATTCATTTGCTTATTCATTAGGTTACATAGGGTAAGTACATTAATTATTTTTTGTAAGCTGTAAAACCGTTCGAGCACAAAACGTTCATTGTTTAACCTCGTAAGACCGAAGAGTAAATTTTGTCGACTTCTAAGTATCGCCGAATGTGCTTTCAGAAGAACGAATAATTTGTAGTAGTAAACGCCGAGCACTTCGAGTAAAAAAATTTTTATGTTAGAGATTTTCTTTTGCATTCATATTTTCAGGGGCCCTATATAATGGTGCATAGAGCTTATTTTAGGTGAAAAATAATAAAAAAATGTTTTCTCTTAAAAGAACATTCGGTATTACAGACTTTAAAAAGGAAGAGTAAATAAATTGTATTTTATACTTTAAAGTAAAACATAAATGTAACCTTCTTAATAAATTAATACTACATAAAGATACAATAATGATATTAATAAATGTAACTGAAAAGGAACAACGGAATTCATTTTATTTAATGTTTCATAATNGCTCGCGTTACTTGGTGCGTCAGAACTCTCGGGAGATTACATGCAGGATCCTCAAATGCTGTATACAACATCGTATCAGGTGACGAATCATGGATATACGCGTACGAACCCGAAACAAAAAACCAGTCACGAGTTTGGGTGTTCGAAAATGAATTAAAGCCAACAAAAATTGTTCGTTCACGGAGTGTTGCAAAAAAAATGGTGGCCACGTTTGTCTCCAAAACCGGCCATGTTGCGACTATTCCTCTTGGGGGACAAAGAACGGTTAATGCAGATTAGTATGCTAGCATTTGTTTGCCACAGGTCGTTTCTGAACTCCGTAAAGAGAACTGCAACCGCCGCATCATCCTCCATCACGACAATGCGAGTTCTCACACCGCGCACTGAACAAAAGAGTTTTTAGAGCAAGAAAACATAGAATTATTAGTCCATTCGCCGTACAGCCCTGACCTAAGCCCTAATGATTTCTATACTTTCCCTAAAATTAAGAATAAATTGCGTGGTCAGAGATTTTCATCACCTGAAGAAGCTGTGGAAGCCTACAAAACGGCCATTTTGGAGACCCAAACTTCCGAATGCAATGGTTGCTTCAATGATTGGTTTCGTGTATGGAAAAATGTGTCAAAGTTCGCGGAGAATACTTTAAAAAGCAATAAATAAGTACATTTTTAAATAGTAATGTTGTTTCACTTCCTTGATTCCCGAAATTTTCAGTGCCGCCCTCGTAATTATACAAAATCGCAAGATACGAACATGTTGATAGGTTCGCGTTCACTTTATAAAGTTTTATCAGTTTTATTAATGAATCGTTTTGTTAATTTTCTAATTACCTTTTTTTTACCTACTTTAATTTAATTTCGTTAATTAACAGTTATTTGACGGTTGATGTCCATTCCTTTGCGTACGATTAAATAATTAAGATGTAGTATGACGTCGAAATTTATCGACTTAGACTATAATTTTATTAAATAAGAGTAATCTATTTATGACCAAACAAGTTGGGAAAGCCCACTATGCCCAACAGTGGGCAAGAAAGAACTAAGTCCATCTTACCCGTCTGTAAGCATCGATATTGGAGTCCGTTCGCGCCGCCTGCCGGGCCAACTGCTCCTGCAACTGGGCGATCTGAGCTGCACTGCGCTGGATTTTCTCTTCGTACTCGAGAACCACCACGTTCATCTGCATGAGAATTGAAATAAAGGTAAGAACTAAGAAGGTAAGTAATGGTCAATATACCTAAGTTCTATTTCAGCTATAATTTCAGACTATTTTTGAGCAAAAGAGCACCCTTTTATAAAGAGATGCTACAGTATTTGGACTCCAAATTGGGATACCAAATCGATGCACATAAGCGTCGTTGATAAACCTTTATTATTATACTTCCATTTACACTGATTTTAACAGCTGGACCAAACTACAGGGTGTTAGGTAAATGGGTATATGAGCCGACACTAGCCCATGTTAACATGGTCATATAAATGGTATGGCGAAGTCAGAAATTTGATACCATCATTTTAATTTTTTTAATTTTCATACAAAATAAATTTTATAAAATCCGATTTGTATGAAAATTGTAATAATTAAAATGAAGATATCAATTTTCTGACTTCACCGTACCATTTATATGACCATGTTAACATGGGCTAGTGTCGGCTCATATACCCATTTATCTAACACCCTGTATAAAGGAAGCAGATAAAAAGTCTGTAAGTAAGTATAAGTACCTTACCAATTCTAAGTAGGTACTTGGTAGTCAATAAAACAAAAAGACCGTAGCTAAAGCATGCAAAAATGAATGATTTCTCCATTTACACACAATAACTCCAACTCCTATCGTTAAATCAAACGTTCATTAATGAAAAATATACGTTCGTTAACATTCTCACATTCGGAACAGGCATCGTAGATGGTAATGGTGAAAAATACTGACGCATCATTACAGACACGCACATTTGGTTACAGACCGAAACTTCCTATCGCCCACAGACATGCTACTGCCTACGCCTATCCTATTATCATAATGGGCATGTAACAGTTAGTTTTGTGATCCTTCTTTGGGTTTGGGTGTAGACACAGAATAAATATTTATAGACAAGCATCCATCTCAGATGCGTGCCATATATAGAGAACATAAATATTTGGTTTGAAAATTATTTTTCCCTGCTAAGATTCCATTCTGATGCCTACTTAGTACCTACCTGATTATGTGTGACTTGCACCTACGCTAGTCCCAAATCGAGTTATGGTAGCTAGGTAATCAATTTGTGCGTGATATATCGCTATATTTCAAGTACCTGGGTCATTCCACCGGCCAAGAAAATCACGTGTCCGGGGCCAAAAAGTACCCGAATATCATAATATTCTAGTAACAAATATTTTTATCTAATAGTATAACTTTGGTTCTAGTTGTTAAACCACAGAGATAGTTAATAATAGTTAATTGAGTAATTTAAAAAAAATCGTAAGTCGTCAAAAATTGATTACCACGACGTGTCCGCGCTCCCGATTTCAGAACAAACTTGCTCGTATAAATTAATCCGTTATTATTACCGCTTTCAATGCTTATGTAATCGATTACTGATTAAATAAACATTGATAAATTAAATACGATATAACTATATGACTAAAATGTTTTGTAAAATAACTATTTGAAGTTGTGTCCGGGCGTTAACCGTGATTACCCCGACACGTCACTAATGTGCGCCTACGTCCCTAGCTACGCAATTTAGAAACGAGCTCTATCCTCCCCCGTGAACCTTTAGTGGTGGCCTGCGTGCCGAGGTGATCGGTAATGCAACTCGTCGCAGGATTTCGGAGTTATCGAGATAAGAATATGATTACCCCGACCTTGGTTCAGTGCACGATTGATTTACTCTATCCTGTTTTAATAGGTTTCTTTACATGGAAAGTTCTTGAGAATGTACAGGAATAATGGTCCATGTAACCGCATTTTTGTGTATTAAAACATATGGGATTCAACTTACAGATTGGGCAGGGCTCAGGATAAACCTTAATTTTTTGACTACCCCGACCTTGATTACCCCGACTTTTGTCACCGAGTAATCAATAATACTGTAATTTTACTAATGAATGATTAACTAAATAACGTTTAATAAGCAAAATTACCCTTTACTAAAATGAAATCCTATCTCCTATTAATACATAATATTATTCCTCAAAATTGGCAAGACCCCTGGACTCGACCTTATCACCGCTGAAATGCTGTAAGCCGATGTAAACTCCGCCGTTAACGTCCTGACACCTGTCTTCGAAAACATCTGGATGGAAGAGGAACTCCCAGACGACTGGCATAAGGGGCTTCTAATTATTGTGCCGAAAAAAGGGTAAAGCAAGGGTATCAGTACCGGAAGACCCAAGAGATGCGATCTGGAGTGAGGAATTGCACACCGTTGGTGCAGAGGATGTCCAACGAGTCCACAATTTCACTTACCTCGGGAGCATCGTTTCAGAGCCTGGAGGTACCGAAGAGGACATCACTTCGCGCATTGCCAAGGCCAGAGCTACCTTCGCACAACTTCGAGCCGTATGGCAGTCACGGAAATTGACCCAAGCAAGATCAAAATATTCGGGTCCAACGTCAAACCAGTTCTGCTCTATGGGCGTGAAACGTGGAAGGTCACTAAGGTTATCTCGCACCAGCTGCAGATCTTCTTCAGCCGCTGTCTTCGCCGAATTCTCCAAAATCTTCAAACGACGAACTTTTGGAACGCTGCCACGAAATACCGATCTTTCAGCAGAATAAACGCTGCAAGTGGAACTGGATCGGCCACACTCTCCGAAGGGACCCCGATCACATCCCCAAGCAGGCTCTAGATTGGAACCCCCAGGGAAAATGCAAACGTGGTCGCGCCAAAAAAACATAGCGGCGCACTGTTAAGACTTGGAGCGAGATCAAACACGAAGCTCAAGACCGAATGCGATGGAGGACTGTTGTGGACGCCTTCTGTCCCATATAGGAGACATAGGACATTGAGTCACTAATATTATATGTATAATGTATATGTATGTTTTTTACTCTTTTACGCAACAACTACTTAACAGATTTTGTTGAAACTTTACAATATTGTCGTTTATACATCAAAATAACAAATGGCTAGTTATAATAACATTTATTTTACCATAACTTAAAAAAAACCTTAGAAAATAAAATATTTTGTTTTATTTTTGATTACTCTGACTCCCAACTTTGATTACCCCGACCATGAAAATTTTGATGTCGCATAACTTTTTGTTCCTGCTTGCTACAGATGGGCCAATATAAAAAATATGCTCGTAATAATGTCTATTTTGAAATGTTTTACCTAAACTTACTCTAAATTCAAAAATAAAAAAGGTCGGGGTAATCAACAAAATAATCCAGATCCGGAGAATGACCGACCTACTTACGCCATCCATAAGAAACAGGTGTTAGAGTTCACGGAAGATAAAAATACAAAAACAATTTTTCTAACGTATTGACATACGTAGAAAAAAATTACTATGGTATAATATTGAACTTACCAGTTGGCGCCACTGATCGAGTACGTCCAATCATTAATTATATAAAATAATATATATAAAATAAATGAAGTGACTAAAGACAGTGTCGCTAACTAACAGGGTAAAAATACGATAAGAGCATCATTGCATTTGCACTCATTTGTAGGTAGCGTCACCGTGGAGCAAGGTCCTCAATCGCCAGTGGGGCCAAAGAGTGAGCGAAATTTCGGTCGCTACCTATACGTCTGAGACTGGTATGAGCATGATATAATTTAGTCTCATTCTCCCATGGAGTCAATTATACTCATACCTACATGGTAAACCATACCTTATCACTATGCTCAGTCTCCATTTCCTTGATCTTGCTCCTAAGCTCTTCGATGACGCAAGAAAACTGCGCTATTTGGGTGTCCGAATCGTTCTGCACCTGTTGGACTGGATACACATTTGTTTAGAGCGCATTTAAGACCAATTAGGAAAAGAAAACCTAAGGGTGCGAACACATTGAATATTATGTAATTGGCAACTAAATGCTTTTTGAAAGCAGCAACTAATTAGTGAACGAAAAAAATGAACTGGTAACTAACTAAGCAATTGCACCAGATTGAGAAAGGATTTTTATGTATGTTGTAGGCATCAATATTAAGAAATAAATTTTGACTTCGGCTTGCTAACCAAAGTGATAAAACAGTTTAGCGAACTAATACTAACGGAAGGTTACTCTATCGTGTGGGTTGGAAGTAAGTAATTTAAGTATTCAAGCTCATCGCATGGATGGTTCAAGGCCCAGACATGATTACTATGTTCAAACCGCCAAATCTTACATCATAATACCATCAAGATAACAAGTAAGTAAATAAGTAAGTAATATTCCTTAAGCTACTGTAACAATTAATTAACATCATTCATTAATCAGCTGTATTGTGTAATAACATTGTTTGTGAATTTATTATGCCCTCGCTTTATTTCAAACCCTAGTGGTTATCGTTTCGTTTCGTTTCAGCCAAATGACGTCCACTGCTGGACAAAGGCCTCCCCCAAGGTTTTCCACAATGAACGGTCCTGCGCTGCCCGCATCCAGGCTCTTCCCGCGACCTTTCGAGTGGTTATAAATAATCTAAATGTAACGGATGTAATTGACTTTTTTAGTTGTTAATTATATGAAAAACAAGTAATGTGTACTGGGGCCCTTAAGATCCAGACGGTTCATGCGATCGTTCCGTCTCGCTGAGCACTGCGATAATATGAGAGTGCAATTAGCTATCTCTCACAAGTATTCATACAGAGTCTATTAATAAGTTTATGTGCGCTTTTTATGCGTCTGTCTCTAGACCTTAATAGAAGTTTAAAATTTATTAGACGTTAGATACTTTTTGNTGTAGGTGTTTGGTTTTGCGGTTTGTACTATTTTGCTTTGAATGACAATTGATCTCCATAAAATAATGAGAAATAAAAGTGAACGTGGGCCAGCAAAACACATGGGAAGGATGGAAATTTGAAAGGTAAAGACTCACGAGAGATACTTGTAGGCAGGATCCTTGGTACGATGAGCTGGGTTTTCCGGGCGCTGGCATCCAGGTGGTATCGTCTACGTGGACGTCTTCTTCGATGATATTTCACACACCCAATGTACTGCACCATATGTGGTCCACGAAATACACTCGCGGGAGATCTCCAAAATGCGATTAACACAATATAAACGATAAATAAATTCAGTCCAGAGCTGTGGGACTGAACGCGGCGCGGCGCTCCTTTTCAATCTCGCATTGCGAGCCAAACTAAAAACTTTTATCCAGTCCACGTAGTGAGCGTAAAATGTGTGCAAGCGAGAGGGAAGATAAGGAATGCGGAAGGAAGGATTTTAGTATTTGCTGGCGAAACACCGATATTCATGTGATCAGAAAAAAATACCTTAGATTAGGCGCGGAAGTTTAAAAATAGAAAAGATTATATTATGGCGGCACCAGTAACATTGANGCTTACGAGGTTAATTATACAAAATCGCAAGATACGAACATGTTGATAGGTTCGCGTTCACTTTATAAAGTTTTATCAGTTTTATTAATGAATCGTTTTGTTAATTTTCTAATTACCTTTTTTTTACCTACTTTAATTTAATTTCGTTAATTAACAGTTATTTGACGGTTGATGTCCATTCCTTTGCGTACGATTAAATAATTAAGATGTAGTATGACGTCGAAATTTATCGACTTAGACTATAATTTTATTAAATAAGAGTAATCTATTTATGACCAAACAAGTTGGGAAAGCCCACTATGCCCAACAGTGGGCAAGAAAGAACTAAGTCCATCTTACCCGTCTGTAAGCATCGATATTGGAGTCCGTTCGCGCCGCCTGCCGGGCCAACTGCTCCTGCAACTGGGCGATCTGAGCTGCACTGCGCTGGATTTTCTCTTCGTACTCGAGAACCACTACGTTCATCTGCATGAGAATTGAAATATAGTGAAGGTAAGTAATAGTCAGTGTACCTAAGCTCTATTCAGCTATAAATTTCAGACTATGTTTGAGAAAAAAAAACCCTTTTATAAAGATGCTACAGTATTTAAAGACTCCCCGCAGACTTACAGACTTTTAGCTTTTAGTTATTCAAACCATTGATTCCCTGCTACTTGGAGTCAATAAAACAAAAGACCGTAGCTAAAGCATGCAAAAATGAATGATTTCTCCATATACACACATAAACTCCAACTCCTATCGTTAAATCAAACGTTCATTAATGAAAAATATACGTTCGTTAACATTCTCACATTCGGAACAGGCATCGTAGATGGTAATGGTGAAAAATACTGACGCATCATTACAGACACGCACATTTGGTTACAGACCGAAACTTCCTATCGCCCACAGACATGCTACGGCCTACGCCTATCCTATTATCATAATGGGCATGTAACAGTTAGTTTTGTGATCCTTCTTTGGGTCTGTGTGTGTCTGTGTCTACACACAGAATAAATATTTATAGACGAGTATCCATCTCACACGCGTGCCATACTTATACAGAGAACATAAATATTTGGTTTGAAAATTATTTTTCCCTGCTAAGGTTCCATTCTGATGCCTACTTAGTACCTACATAAATTAATTATGCGTGACTTGCACCTACGCATCCCAAATCGAGTTTGGATGGTAGCTAGGTAATCAGTTTGTGCGTGATGTATCACTATTATTTCAAGTACCTACCTACTTACGCCATCCTTAAGAAACAGGTGTTAGAGTTAACGGAAGATAAAAATACAAAAACAATTTTTCTAAAGTATTGAGCTTACTAGTTGGCGCCACTGGTCGAGTACAGTCCTATCATTTCGCTAGTGACTAAAGTTTAGAGAGTGGAGCCAAATAACTGGGTAAAAAATTCGAATTGATGAACATCATTGCATTTGCACTCATTTGTAGGTGTAGCGCCATTGTAGAGTAAGGTAGTACACACTCTCACCTGACTGAGTTTCTTCCGCCACCTCTTCTCAGCACCAGCCCATAATATGTTGTCCCGAAAGTGGTGGTAGGGCAAGCTATATTTGGGACGTATATACATATAAGTGCCGTGCAATGTGCCTATGTACTGAATAAACTATTTCATTTCACTCGCCAGTGGCACAGTATTGCCAGTGGCACAGTATTGCCAGTGGCGCCAACGAATGACCGAAAATACGGTCGCTCACATCTGAGACTGGCATCAACATTTAATTTTTTAGGATCAACATTCTCCCAGGCAGTCAATACTTACTCATACATGGTATGGTAATACATACCTTATCACTATGCTCTGTCTCCATTTCCTTGATCTTGCTCCTAAGCTCTTCGATGACGCAGGAAAACTGCGCTATTTGGGTGTCCGAATCGTTCTGCACCTGTTGGACTGGATACACATTTGTTCAGAGCGCATAAGACCAATTATGAATAGAAAACCTAAGGGCGCGAACACATTGAATTGCTTTTTGAAAGCAGCAACTAATTAGTGAACGAAAAAATGGACTAGTACCTAACTAAGCAATTGCCCCAGATTGAAAAAAGATTTTTATGTATGTTGTAGGCACCAATATTATGAAATAAATTTTGATTACGACTTGCTAACCAACGTGATAAAACAGTTTAGCGAACTAATACTAACGGAAGGTTACTCTATCGTGTGGGTTGGAACTTGGAAGTAAGTAATTTAAGTAATCAAGCTCATCGCATGGATGGTTCAAGGCCCAGACATGATTACTATGTTCAAACCGCCAAATGTTACATCATAATACCATCAAGATAACAAGTAAGTAAATAAGTAAGTAATATTCCTTAAGCTACTGTAACAATTAATTAACATCATTCATTAATCAGCTGTATTGTGTAATAACATTGTTTGTGAATTTATTATGCCCTCGCTTTATTTCAAACCCTAGTGGTTATCGTTTCGTTTCGTTTCAGCCAAATGACGTCCACTGCTGGACAAAGGCCTCCCCCAAGGTTTTCCACAATGAACGGTCCTAAGCTGCGCTGCCCGCATCCAGGCTCTTCCCGCGACCTTTCGAGTAGTTATAAAGCTATCTAAATTTAACGGATGTAATTGACTTTTTTAGTTGTTAAATAAATGAAAAAAAAGTAATGTGTGCTGGGGCCCTTAAGATCCAGACGGTTCATGCGATCGTTCCGTCTCGCTGAGCACTGCGATGAGAGTGCAATTAGCTATCTCTCACAACACAAGTATTCATACAGAGTCTATTAATAAGTTTATGTGCGCTTTTTATGCGTCTGTCTCTAGACCTTATTAGAAGTTTAAAATTTATCAGATACTTTTTANACTTTTTGAAAAGAATCAAACATTCTCTTAATTTTATTTGGAAGTCTAAAAACTAGATCATTTTGTAAAAGTTACTATAGGTTACACTAATTAGGCGCTTAGATGTATGATGTTAATTAAATTAGCTCGCAAGAAAATATTAATTGTTTTTAAAACCGATAAAAGTACGATGATTTACCTTTTTTCTCGTAGGAAAGCTTTAGATCTTCGATCGTTTTATCGTGGGAACTCCTTAATTCGTTTAAACTCTCGTTTTGTTGATGCGAAAGTGCTTCTTTTTCCTACAAGCAGTGCAATGACATTTAATTACTATAGATCAAAAGTACCTACTTACTTTTTCTAAGCCACTACACTTTTAGCTTGAAGTACGCTTACAATCTGCAACGTTTTAATGTAGGCATCTTTAGTGCAATTTTCATCTTTTAGATTTTTAATTTCGCGTTTCAGATACATGAGTTGGGAAACAGTTTCTTGTAGGTTGCCGATCATTTCTCGAGAGGTTTGCAAATGGTAGCGATGTGATTTTTCTAATTCACGAGCTTCTCTGACTTCAACTTCTAATTTTGTATTTTCATTACGTAATTTTGTAAGTTCCTCCCTTTCCTTTGTGAATTCCTAAAAATAATTTGTAAATTAACAATGAGATATTTTATATTAATTTGTATCGACACGACTTCGTTACCTACAATTTTACACTTCGACAGACTTTGAAGTAAATCTTGCAAACGAGAATTTGAAATATTGGTTTCCCTTTGCTTTGTTTCCATTTTCCATACTTTACCTCAAGGAAATAATACGAAAACGAATTAATTAGAAAGTTACGCAAACTATGTTTACATTATCGCGCCAATCAATGCTGCCAACATGATAAAACGATTTATTATAACTTTTTCTAAATTTTGAATAGGCCCAGATAACGTTTTAAGAAAACCGATGTGTAATGCTACGGCTATACATACGGTTAATTAGCGAAATGTCACTGAATGTCGCGTTAGTAGTTCCAAGGCCGTAAAAACCATAAACAAACACAAAAAAAGTCATTCTGTCACTTTATGTCATTTGTCTTTGTCAATCTGTTGTCTAAAAAAAACATAGTCATAACCTCACCAGCAAAGGTGGAAAATTATTTGTAACGTGTGATTAAAAGACACCAATTCAGTTGAGACTGCGTGTTAATATTTAAGACTGCATTAATCATTATAAACAATGACGACTGCTTATGGAATACATCTGGGAAACAACTCTGCTTGTCTTGCCTCGTTTACCAATGGTGCTGCTACCGTGATCGCTAACGATGCCGGTGACCGAGTGACCCCAGCAATCGTCGCTCTCAACGGTTCGGAATGGGAGATCGGACTTACCGCTAAATCTGGTCAGGCTCTGACGAAGGTCATAATCAAACATAACAAGCGCCTGATGAACTGTGATTACAATGAAGAAGATCTGTCCTACGTCGAAACTTCATCATCTTGCCGCATTCAAAACGAAGATAAGCTGACATACGAGTTTGAAACAAGTGAAACTACACAGTATTCTAACCCAGATAACATTGCAACTAAGATTTATGCTAAATTGTTCACTATTGCCAGCCACTCTATGAGGAGTGAAGGAGACTTGAAGTTGGTGTTAGCAGCCCCTTTGCATTGGTCAAATGAAAGCCGAGACAGATTGGTTAAATCAGCTGAATTGGCTGGTTTTGATGTATTACAAGTGATAAGTGAGCCAGCAGCTGCACTATTAGCTTACAATGTTGAAGAGACTGAAGATGATATTAATGTCTTAGTTTACCGCCTTGGTGGGTCATCGTGTGATGTCTCCATCCTAAAAGTTTCGAGGGGATTCATAAGTGTTGAAAAAAGTATATTCCGCTCCGATCTAGGTGGACAGTGCCTTACAAAAGACTTGGCACATTATATTGCTCAAGAAGTGAAGCAGAAGTGGAAATTAGATCCCGAAGAAAGTAAGAGAGCCATGGCAAAGTTAATGCTCCATTCAGACAACTGCAAACATGTTTTGTCCACATTGAGTTCAGCTCATGTCTTTATTGAGTCATTGATGGATGGTGTTGATTGGAGCCAAAACATTTCTCGGGCAAGATTTGAAAACATTATTTCTTCAAAAATATCTGCATATATAGAGCCAGCTCAGAAACTGATTGAAAACTTTGATGGGAAAATCCACAAAATTGTTCTGAGTGGAGGAAGTATGAAGATTCCAAAACTACAATCTGCGATTGCCAATTTATTGCCTGAAGCTGAAGTACTTTCAGGAATCAATCCCGATGAAGTTATTGCTATGGGATGTGCTAAACAAGCTGGCATGTTATTTGAAATTCCTGATGTTAATTTGCACGATATGAGTGCTGAAGTAGAATTCTTAGGGAAAGATATTTATCTTAAATACCTGGATCAAACAGTCCAAATATTTAAAGAAGGCACACCTCCATTTGCTCAGAATACTTGTAGTATAGATGCTGGCAAAGATATCAAAGATATAAGCTTCAGTTTACTGGATAATCCTGAGGGTGATGAGTTTGCGAAAGAAACATTCAATGTAGAAAGCTTGACCAAACCATTTACATTGAAAGCCACATTGCAGAACTCCAAAATATTGTTACAAGTTGAATAAATTAATATTTTCTTAATATTTTATTTGTTTTTCTTTTCACCCTTCTTCCTTCAATATTAATCAGGTGGAATTTTCATAGTTTAATTTAGTCTTAATGATACACTACCTATCTACTACATAGCAGTCAATAAAATTAAAACATGACATGATGGCAGTACACTTAAATTACATTACAGTACTACTGAGTACTACTGTCAGTGGCGGGCGTAGCTAGGTAACCAAGGGCCCTGGGGCAAATAAAAAATGGGGGCCCACTGCAATCTAAATTTTATCAAGCTTATTGACTTCAAGCTTACTTCCTGCCTCATACAGCATTATTTTTTAAAATCTTTACAGTAAAAGTAAAACGCACATCGATGAATATTAAAACGCACATAATGTGCCGTCTTTACAAGACTGCCAAGTTGGCAACCCACAGAAAGAATTTAGAGGAATTAATTCCCCAGTTATGACTTTCGAATTTATCTCTATTTACATTATTTTGAAAATGTAGGGGCCCCGGGGCACCGCCCCGCCTAGCCCCTTAGTAGCTACGCCCCTGAGTACACAGAACTACACCATTCATAATTCATAATATTGATAATCTTTGAACTAAAATGTTCTTGTTCATTGTTTTATGTTCTAATGGTAATGGCGGAGAAGAGAAGCAGAAAAAATAAAATCTGATTTGTTTCAAAAATTCAAAATACTTCTCTGCTCCGCTCCGCCTTGGTGGAACCCGAGCTTTATGTATGTTTATGTAGGTAGTAGGACACAAGCACGGAGCAACGGTTATTGTTACAAGTGCTCCATGAACAAAAGTAACGTTAAACGTTACTGATAATGCAACGAAACGTTAAAATAGTGATAGTTGATAGTTTGACAAATTTGACATTATGATGACGTCCGTACGTTCAAATAATATTGTTTAAAAAAATATATTTACACATCACGTCGTTTACAAATTTTTTGTAATTTAATTTTAAAATAAATTAGAAAAAATATATTCACTAGATAATTATGAATATCTTAGCTGTATCAATTATATTCTCAGTGTTATATCATATGCCAGATGTGATAGCTTCTTTAGATAGTGAAGATGTTCGCAATTATTTAGGAACTCGCACTCCTTACAGATTTATTTCAAATAAAAATGATTCTAAGATAAAATATCCTAGTAAGTCACAAAAATAATAATTTCTATATATTTTGCAATCATTACATGATACGTTAACTTCTAAAACATATTAATTTTGTAGACTGCAAGGATTCTAAAATATGGATGATGATTCGCCATGGAACAAGATTGCCAAGTGCTAAGGATATTTTGGGCATGAACAGTACGCTTCGGGATTTGAAATATGAAATTCTGCTCATGCACAAAAAAGGCAAAGGTAATAACATTGTTATAATAGTTTCATTAACTGCAAAATGTTTTGTTTGCAACGAATAAACGAAACTTTGTATATGCTTCAAGGTGAACTGAATCCAGAGCAGTTAAAATTAATAGAAGACTGGTCCAAACACATAGATGTTGAGCAGGAGAAGTTCTTGGCTCGGGAAGGTCAAGATGAGATGATACTGCTCGCTGAGAGAATGCATAAAAGATTCCCAAATGCTATAAAAAATAAGTACAATAATAAAACATTCATGGTAAGTTTGATTTGCTTTATACTTTTATTTTAGTTTACTAAAGTAGCTTTCTCTAATATCCTTTTGATTAAAAAGTGCTGATGAGTGTAAAATTATCTATTAATTTCCAGTTCCGTTATACGGCTACACAGAGAGCGCAGCAAAGTGCAAGATATTTCACCATCGGTTTATTTGACAAGAAAGAGTCTCAGGGAGTGATTTTTTCACCTGCAAACAAAGTAGATCCAGAATTAAGAGTAAGCTGTTTAATTATTATTTTTTAAATGATTGTTAAATGTAACTTTCTTAGTATTATCCCTATTTATATTGATTTTACTGTCTTTCTAAGCTTACCCTACATTAAGTTGCAATTTTTCAGTTTTACAAACATTGTGACAAGTGGCAAAAGCAAGTTAAGAAAAATCCAGACACATACGTCGAGCAAAAATTGTACGGCACAAGTGCTGAAATGAACAAGACTATAGCTGCTGTTAGCAAAAAGTTGGGTCTAGATAAAGTCTTGAGTTTAGGTTTGTAATGCTTAGCTTGCTTTGCTGTTTGCTACTATCTCTTTCACTTAAAAACCTGTCAATCAATGTCATCTATCAACTATTAGTTAGTCCATTAAAGAATTAAACTATGAGTTAGCCTCAAAATATTTATATAATAATCAACAGAACTCATACTCTTGCTAAAAAAACATTATTTCTAGGTTGGCTTTCTAAAAGCTACTAATCTTTCCTCATTCTTAATTGCTATAAAATTAATTAATGGTCACTCAACTCAAAACTTGTAAGTAATAGATATCACAAGTAGCTCTAAAATTAATGCCCATTAATATATAATAGCACTAATATGCCTACACATTATTTTAAATAAGGTATTTTTTTAAATGCTTTTTTCTATTTACAGGAACTGTGAATTTAATGTATAAGATCTGCGGATTTGAAACGTCTTGGAATAAGCATCATTTGTCGCCATGGTGCAGTGCTTTTGATCAGGAGAGTGCAGAGGTTTGTATGTATTCAGAAATTTTAGCCTGAAATGACTGGTGGGTTGTGTAGAGCAATTGCAGTTCTGGGTTCAAATCCCGCAAGTATTAAACATTAGTATAATAAGCATGACCATTTACATCTTGATTTATACAGTCACGGAATGAAAAGGTTCGTCAGTTTTCAAATTGATTCCTTCAACGAATNGCGAAATACCCTAATATCGTTCGTGCTCCATGGACAAAAGTAACGTTAAACGTTATTGATAACGCAACGAAACGTTAAAATAGCGATAGTTTGACATGTATTACTTTTCTCTATGGTTTGACATTATGATGATGCACGTTCAAATAATTGCTTCAAAAATAAAAAAAGAAATAATATTTACATTACGTTTACAAATTTTTTGTAATTTTAAATAAAGTAGAAACAATATATTCACTAGATAATTATGAATATCTTAGCTATATCAATTATATTCTCAGTGTTATATCATATGCCAGATGTGATAGCTTCTTTAGATAGTGAAGATGTTCGCAATTATTTAGGAACTCGCACACCTTACAGATTTATTTCTAATAAAAATGATTCTAAGATAAAATATCCTAGTAAGTCGCAAAAATAATAATTTCTATATATTTTGCAATCATTACATGATACGTTAACTTCTAAAACATATTAATTTTGTAGACTGCAAGGATTCTAAAATATGGATGATGATTCGCCATGGAACAAGACTGCCAAGTGCTAAGGATATTTTGGGCATGAACAGTACGCTTCGGGATTTGAAATATGAAATTCTGCTCATGCACAAAAAAGGCAAAGGTAATAACATCATTGTTGTAATAGTTTTAATAATCGTCCTCCCAGCCACGGGTGTTATACCCAAGTTACTATTTTGAACACCTGCAGGATAGTTCGTAAGTTCCTCCAAAGCGAACAAATCCAATGATTTCAAAAAATGCTTTCGGCCCGTGAACGACATTAAACCGGGTTCCAGTGGAAACCGTGCCTACGAAACATAGTAGAAAAACAATAATAAATAATAATAACAATAATAAAGTTTTATTAACTGCAAAATGTTTTGCTCAAATTATGTGCGTACGTAATTGCAATAAATAAAAGAAACTTTATTTATGCTTCAAGGTGAACTGAATCCAGAGCAGTTAAAATTAATAGAAGACTGGTCCAAACACATAGATGTTGAGCAGGAGAAGTTCTTGGCTCGGGAAGGTCAAGATGAGATGATACTGCTTGCTGAGAGAATGCACAAAAGATTCCCAAATGCTATAAAAAATAAGTACAATAATAAAACATTCATGGTAAGTTTGATTTGCTTTATTACTTTTATTTTAGTTACTAAAGTAGCTTTCTCGAATATCCTTTTGATAAAAAAGTGCTGATGTACGTAAAATTATTTATTAATTTCCAGTTCCGTTATACGGCTACTCAGAGAGCACAGCAAAGTGCAAGATATTTCACCATCGGTTTATTTGATAAGAAAGAATCCCAAGGAGTGATTTTTTCACCTGCAAACAAAGTAGATCCAGAGTTAAGAGTAAGCTGTATTAATTATTATTTTTGAAATTATTGTTAAATGCAATTTTTTTGATATTATCCCTATTTATATTGATTTTACTGTCTTTCTAAGCTTACCCTACACTAAGTTGCAATTTTTCAGTTTTACAAACATTGTGACAAGTGGCAAAAGCAAGTTAAGAAAAATCCAGACACATACGTCGAGCAAAAATTGTACGGCACAAGTGCTGAAATGAACAAGACTATAGCCGCTGTTAGCAAAAAGTTGGGTCTAGATAAAGTCTTGAGTTTAGGTTTGTAATGCTTAGCTTGCTTTGCTGTTTGCTACTATCTCTTTCACTTAAAAACCTGTCAATCAATCAATGTCATCATCTATCAACTAATAGTTAGCCCAGAATTAAACCAATTCCTCTATGAGTTAGCCTCAAAATATTTATATAATAATCAACAGAACTCATACTCTTGCTAAAAACATTATTTCTAGGTTGGCTTTCTAAAAGCTACTAATCTTTCCTCATTCTTAATTGCTATAAAATTAATTAATGGTCACTCAACTCAAAACTTGTTAAATATTAGATATCACAAGTAGCTCTAAAATTAATGCCCATTAATAAACAATAGCACTAATATGACTACACATTATTTAAAATAAGGTATTTTTAATGCCTTTTTCTATTTACAGGAACTGTGAATTTAATGTATAAGATCTGCGGATTTGAAACTTCTTGGAATAAACATCATTTGTCGCCATGGTGCAGTGCTTTTGATCAGGAGAGTGCAGAGGTTTGTATGCGTTCAGAAATTTTAGCCTGAAATGACTGGTGGGTTGTGTAGAGCAATTGCAGTTCTGGGTTCAAATCCCGCAAGTATTAAACGTTAGTGTAATAAACATCACCATTTACGTCTCGATTTAAACATGGAGTTTGGTAATTTTGAGTTTTGTTTCAGGTAATGGAATATTATCACGATTTGAAACATTATTGGATGGATGGCTATGGGCATGATCTGACTTACAGACAAGCATGTATGGCGATCAAAACTATGTTTGATAATTTCAGGTATATACAAATTAAAAATATTAAACCTTGACTCTGTTTGCTTAGAAAATTAGTTATGGCAATAGCATTTACTATAATAAACTGATGTCATTATTACCGTGACAAAATTTGTAATTGTAGCTATCCATCCATTTATACCACTTTAACCGAGCGCGATCATGCGGCAAACTAAATAAATGGCGGCATGTGGATATACCAGCTTCCATAGAGAAATTTTCGAACCCCTTTAGCTCACACACTGGATAACTTTATTTTACGATTCCAGTCACAAAAAAGACCCGCACGCGATATTCCTGTTCGCACACTCGGGGACCCTGCTCAAGATCCTCACACACATGCATCTGTATAAACCGGAGACTCCGCTACGAGGCGACGCCATCGACAGGAAGAGGCCGTGGCGAGCGACTAATATTGACTGCTTCGCTTCTAACTTAGCTTTTGTGTTATACAAGTAAGTTATATTGTTGTTAATCTATAACATCCTACATTTTAATATTTCACTGACCTGCCTCTCTTAAATAAGTGGGATAACGTGACAGTTGTAATTTTAGAATCCGTTCACACAGCGAAGTTTTTCGAACTTTGCAGAATTTCGAAATTATCGTTCGTTCGTTCGTTTCAGCCAAATGACGTCCACTGCTGGACAAAGGCCTCTAAGAATTTCCATACCGACCAGTCCTGTTAAATTATAACTGTCATGTTTTGTCATCTGTTTATGGGAGCTATACCATCCCACAGTTGGGCAAAGGAATCCCCCAGTCTTCCGCTTTTTAGTAAAGGTCTCCCTTTCTAAATGTGCCTCAGATTATAAGTACATTCATATTTTAAATGGCAGTATTTTTTACATTTTAATCTAAATCAAGTTTTTTCTCAGGTGCAAAGATGGCGACCGCGTTTTGACGTTGCACCAAGAGAGAATAATAAAGCTGCCGATGTGTGAGAGCGAGTTGTGTCCCCTGGAGCATCTGAAGGAATACTTCCACGATTCCATTTACAACTGTGATTATTCCGACATGTGCAGCCTTGATAAAGATAATAGTTCATAAATTAAAGACTATGCCATATTGCGATGGGCTATCTGAAAGAACTTAAAATCATGACGATCATGGTTGTTGATACTTATCAATTAGGTATTAATAATGGAAGTCTGTGTGCTGTCAACTTAAAAAAATGGTAAAATGAGAATTTCCACGAATTGCATTTGGTTTTACTAAAGAGAAATCAGTACTACTTATAACTAAAATGCAAAAGAAAATAATATTTATTTTTAAACCAAACATATGAAGTAATGCTTTTGGCTATGTAAATTCGTCGAGCAGTCCGATTAAAATGTCACTTTAGTGGCTTGATATACATATTTACCTATTGGATCTTAAATTACATACCAATAAATAGGTACCCCTTAAGTCAGTTTGAGTAAAACTTACATAAGTAGAACTGTAAGCTTGGAGATCAATGTTTATATGTAGTATTAGACTAGGCGCAGACCACCGATTTTTAGTTGGCCGATATTTGGGGCCCGATTTTAATTTGTATGACGAATCGGCCAAATCAAATCGATGTAATGTGCGCACTTCTATACATGCCCATGTATTAGCTTAAGACCTTCTCACCAAATGAAGCAATAAAGAATTATGAATTATGAATTATACTGATCAAATGCCCGACTAAACTATCGGCCGACGAAAAATCGATGGACTGCGCCTAGCCTTAAAGATCTGCTAAATAAATCGAAGGTTACAAAGTAGCTTTAATGTAATATGAATTAAAATTGCACGAGAATGAAGTTTTTAACGATATAAAGTTTATTTGCGTGTCAATTAATAGTTAAGCATTAGTTTTTTACGAGGGTTGTTAGCTGCGACATGAAATCAATAAAAAGTATTAATGTTAAATTTGATTCTTTTATTTAAGACTAGCTTTTGCTTAATATGGCTTTGCCCGCGTGAAATTTATGCCTATAATGTTATTCTGATGCATAAACAATACTATTGTAAAGTTTCGTCAAATCCGTTCCGTAGTTTTTGCGTGAAAGAGGTACGAACATAGATCCAAAACAAAACAAAACAAACAAACTTTCATTATAAAATTAGAGGGATAGGATAGTCTCTAAACCTCACAAGTGATCTCACTAACGAGAATCTTCGGATCTTTCTTTATTGCCAAAAACTTAACTTGGTTTGAGCTCAGTTAACTGACCCCATCCATCTCAACGTCACGTCCTTGCAACATGTTGGTTACTTTATAAGTTTGTATCTTGTATTGTCTCGTTCAAAAAGTAGCTACTTACTACATACAATGTTAGTTTATTGTGGGTTTCGCCGAGAATGTACAACTTTGAGCCGCAATAGATACCGGGATGAAAGAGCTTAGTTTCAACGTGTAGCAACAACAATGATGCGCATTTGGCCACGAAGTTTCGGACTTTCTTGATGGACTAGCTCAAGAAGTCTTATTACAAAATTTACTTTTGAATACAGCTTCGTCCGTGTAAAATTCAGGTTATCATAGCTGATGATTTCGGCCATAGTGACCACTTCGACTTCTATCTTGGCGGCGCTGGTGCGACCAAAGATGGCTTACGCAGCCGATCTTCGCTGCAAACCCACCCCCTCGTACATTGAGGATATCTGAGGACGCCGACAACATAGCTATTTATACTTAGTTAATGCGGTATAAATACCTACTTTAATTCATGCGTCACTGATTTACGTCTTTTGGCAAGGAAAAATAAAAACTGGTTTCTATTAGGTACCTAGGGGTTAGGTAGGATGTTATAAAAACAAAACCAAAGCAAACATAACAATCACAACGAATAAGTAAATAGCCCATGTATCTAGGGATTAACATGAGTGAGAAGTAAACAGAAATAATGGTAGGTGTAACAAATTCGGCTGGCATTCAGGCCATGAACGTATTAAAATATTTTGCGAAAGCTTTGTAGCTGTCGCTTTATGAGTCGTTAAATTAACACACTGTTGTAAATTGAGTCATTACATTTCATAAGTTCCAAGACTTATTTCAAAGAAAATTTGAAACGGACACAGGTAATGGGAAGCGGATGATATTCATTAAGAATTTAATATGTAATTCAGTAGGTAACTAGGCATGACTAATTCTAGATATAGTCAGGCCTATGGGGGCAGCTGCCTCCTCTGGAAATATTCGCTTAGGAGGTAAACCTAAAAAATCTGACTTCATTAATATGTTCTAGACTTTTTTCATGAAATAATAGCAGCCCAAAACTGCTGAAATTTTTTACGTAGGCACTTTTCATTCCGTTTTGCAAAATTAAACCTTATGTTTCGGGCCGTAAACTGAATTTGTAATAGGTATTTATTTTTACATTAATCCCCAAAGGACCTAAAATTTTTGGCTGGCTAGCAAAACCTAAAACGATCGAAGCTTTGGCCGTTTGCCGGGAACATCGTTGGCAGTGCTGGTTCCTTGATAAATGGTGTCGGCACTTGGCAGCCACCGGCTCAATAACATACATGGTGTGCACGCCTCCTTAATTTATAACTCTACTGCGAAACCAAAATTGATATCGAAGTGCGACTCATTGTTTTTGTTTGAACCAGATTTAACTACAAACATTTTGGAGCTTTCGATTGGGAATAATTGGGATACGCCTTGAACTTAATCATTACTTAGTTTAACCTACTAAATACCTACTACGTAGCTAAGTGTCTGAAGTTTGTGGTGAATAATTTACAAATCTAAAGTTGTTATAAATTAAGCTTTAGAACAGCTTACATTTTCATTCATATCTGAGTAGGTAAATACTTAGGTATCCGTTCAGATTTGACTGTCTTCATTCATATTATTCATATTCATAGATAGATTTTTATAAGGTATTTCAATGTGGCTTTTACCAAATAAGTAATTACATGTACCTTACTTCCTGCCGCGTACAACCAAACTGTGGAAAGGACTGTCGTCTGCGGTGTTTCCGGACGGATACGACCTGCAAGCTTTCAAGAAGAGAGCGTATCTTCAGCTTCACCTTAAAGGCCGGCAACGCACCTGTAACGCACCTGGGTCTGCGGGTGTCTATGGGCGACGGTAATCACACGGTGATCCGTCTGCTCGTTTGCCTCCTGTCACATAAAAAAAGAAATTTAACTAGCTTGTGGAACCCTAAGTGGTCGCATATGAGACCGCGGTAACAATAACAATTGATTTCGCTGGTCTAACTAAATAACTAACATTAGGCCCCTTTTAAAGTTAGTTTTAAAACAGCTTACTGTTTCTGTATACTATAGTAATAAACGATAATAGGCGAGTGGAAAACTTACGAATAGCTCCCCGGTTTAACGGGCGTGTCTAACTCCACGTCATTGACTTTAACAGCGACTGAGGAATTTCATTAGATCGCGTAATGTTAATTTTCTGTTGCTTTTCATTTGCGAGCAGCGAAGATGAAAAACGCTTTTCATCGCTGTGGGGTTGGTAAGTTTCGTTTTTAAAACCTTTCCTGGAAATATCACTTTCTATACTTGTTAATTACTTACTTATTACTTTACTAGCGGCCGCCCGCGACTTCGTACGCGTGGATCCCGTTTTACCCCATTCATCTATCTTAAGCGGCTTAGATTTTTATATACAATTTTTTTTCCCGCTAACTCCCGTTCCCGTGGGAATTTTGCAATATCCTGTTGTAACTAAGCTTGGAGTTTACTAAGGTACCTGCATGCCAAATTTCAAGCGTCTATCTTACGTGGTTTAGAGTTTTTCATACAAATGTTTTTTCCCGCTAACTCCCGTTCCCGTATGAATTTTGCAATATCCTGTTGTAAATAAGCTAAGAGTTTACTAAGGTACCTGCATGCCAAGTTTCAAGCGTCTATCTTACGCGGTTTAGAGTTTTTCATACAAATGTTTTTTCCCGCTAACTCCCATTCCCGTGGGAATTTTGCAATATTCTGTTGTAACTAAGCTTTTAGTTTACTAAGGTACCTGCATGTCAAATTTCAAGCGTCTAACTTAAGCGGTTTAGATTTTTCATGCAAAAGGATTTTCCCGTTCCCGTGGGAATTCTTAAGTATCCTATAACCTGCACAGGAGTATGAAGAATAATTGTACCAAGTTTCGTTAAAATCCGTCGAGTAGTTTTTGTTTCTATAAGGAACATACAGACAGACAGACAGACAGACAAAAATTTTACTGATTGCATTTTTGGCATCAGTATCGATCATTAATCACCCCCTGATAGTTATTTTGAAAATATATTTCATGTACAGAATTGACCTCTCTACAGATTTATTATAAGTATAGATTAGCCTAGGCGCAGACCATCGATTTTTAGCTGGCCGACTAAACTATCGGCCAACTAAAAATCGATGGTCTGCGCCTAGTCTTAGAGCCGGTTTTTACTTACCTACCTACCTATAAAAAGCGTGAAGAGATAGTAGGTAAGTAGATAAGTTTATAAATAGACTACAATATGTTGATGATGTGTTCCCATTTCCTGGTTCTGAAATAATAAAGCGCGTTAAAATCCTTTTATCCCTGTAAAACACAGCTTCCACCTATTTGCCTTGGCTTTGAAAGAGTTACGGTGTTCAGTACATAATTTCATTGTAAGCACGTCGCCTGGAGCGCTGTATAAATAGTAGAGACGAAATTCAGTGCGTTCATTTCTTCAAATAGCAAGTTGTATGAAAACCACCGTAAAGCAGGGATGTAGGTACTTACTTGTATGGGTAAAGATAGCCTTGAACAGCCTTTATTTAAAACTTTCAGGGACTTTCAGTGAAGGTAGGTAGTGTAGGTACTTAGTGGATGTTGAAAAAGTCGACTAATGCACAGACATTACCATACATACATTTATGTGAACATCAATTAATATGCTTCCCCAACAAGTCTGGCTAGAGTAGAGAGCCGATGTAAAAAAAAAACTCAGTAAAACTCATTTATTTCTGTAAGTAGGCTTTAAAAAAGCACTTTTACACGTCCCAGTATTAACACTACCACTGCTTCAGGACAATAAATGGGCCAGTGCTGAGAAGAAGCAGCGCAAGAAACTCGATGCGATGATGATGATGATGACGTTGATGAGGTCGCAAGTAATCTATTTATTAAGATGGGCGTAGCATAGGCTCCCACTGCCGATTTCATTTGGCCTGTGTAGCGCAGCGGTTCCCGAAAGGTGGTCCGCGGAACCCTGGGGTTCCGTGGAAAGGCCGCAAGGGTTCCACGAATATTATTCCACGTTTCGTGACCGACGTTGTTCGCGCGCACCGACTTGTTTACGCACAAGGGTGGGGCAGGGCGTGCGGGCGGAGTAGTACGGGGGTTCCGCTAGGAAAAGTATAATCAATTAGGGTTCCTTGGCAAAAAAAAATTGGGAAACCCTGGTCTAGCGCATTGGTGACCTGCCACGCGATGACTGCACCAGATACCTAGTCTGCTAACAGAGAGAGATGGCGGGAGATTACAACCGATTTGAACAACGCCTCAACGTGACCACGACCGCTCTGCCAAGAGCGAAACGAATAATAAGAAGTCTGTGAAATATAGACACAGACTTTAATATCTTACTTACGTCAAGAACCTACTGTTTCAATCACACCTCAATTGTGGTTAACGTTGTTCCTTTCGATTATAACGCGCGTTGCGCATATTCAACTTTGTTGTGTTTTAATACGTGATCTGTGAACCAGCCGAACCCGCCTGAAATGTACAGGACATTTTCATAATCTCGCAGGGATCAAGTACAGTAAAGCTTGAAGGTATGATTATTACCTACGTGTTCTTATTAATACTTTTCATGAAGTAACGTTTTTTACCGAAAGATTTTAGTCAGATAATACAGTCCTTTGGGCCATGGGCAAACACTTTATTTAAGAATTGAAACTCTACCTTGTGGTTTTCGGAATGTGAATGAAGTGCGAACTGAATTACAAAACGTTCTAAAATTAGCGTTTTACGTCTGAAAAGTTGATTTTTCAGCTCAATCACTTACTTCCGAACATACCTCCAGACGGTACCAACAGCTGGTGATTCACGGACATGATTAACTTCCTAGACACCGTGGCCATGTGGGTTTCACGAAAACATTCAATTTTACGAGTAAACCAATAATCTCGCAAATTCCCGATTTTTGCTAATTCGTTTATAATAGTGTGCTGGTTAACGTCAGATAGCCGTAAAAACGTTGTCTGGGATACTTCATGTCGAAGTTAATGTGACGAAAGAATGATAGCATCATTGTTCGGCTCGATGGTTCCCTAGTCTGCTTAGGGTATAACGGGCTTTTTATGGTGTAAACAGATTCATTATGCAGTAACAGTGTAGGTTAGTAATCTGCAGTCGGCGCGCGATTCTGCCGGGAGAACTCGCACTGACGATTTTCTTTTTTTAATCACTTCGCGTTCGGCCAGTGTTTTGTGTTAATGAGTGATAGGTGTGTATTATCTGTGGTTTATTTTTTTCTAAGTAAAGTATTGAATGTTAGTTGCTACTGTAAAAAATAATTAAAAGAATAAAACGTATTTTAGGGAACCTGAAGAAATGAACTTGAAGCTGAATAATGAAATTCAAGTATCGCAGCAAATCCCGCAAATCAAAAAGTTGGAAAGTTCCGTAAAGGTAAATTGTTATCATAAGTATTTTTGAAAGTTAATTAACTTAAAACTATTATAGGGAAAATGAAGTTTAAGTAGAGAAAATGTAAAAGTTTTCAGGTTGATTTACTTGTAAATGTTACTTCTTTTCTTATCTTTGTTATTCTGAATGTAAAATTATTTATTATCAAAACATCTAAGAAATTATTATGAGAAGTTTACTGTACCTATAAAGGTAGTACATACCTAATTAAGCTAAGTTCAAGTGTGTTCCCATCGTACATACTTAATCTACTTATTTAACAGTCAGGAGAATATTTACCTAATTTCAAAAGTTATTGTAAGATCTTTCATGAAGCTTACAAAGCTTTTAGATATTACTCAATCTAAGCGTGGGTCCTGAATATTTTTGAAGATACATAATTATTTGCAAAGTTTGAAGCAGTTTCACAGTTTTGTTGCTTCCGTATGGCAGTTAGTTCCTTAACCTCGATAGTAGCCTGTAGTAAATGATAGTAAAACAGTCCAAATGTTATGGCGTTGTACTCGTAACTCTGGTCGTTGGGAGATGTGATGTGGTTCAGTCAAAATTTCGCAAGATGTGATGCAACAAGATGATTATAACCATTGTTAATCCAGTCTTGCACCAAATGCACCAGTGTGCATGTCGTTTTGTTCCAAATAATGGTCTAGCTAGGTAAATAAGAAGTGATAAGTTTGAGTAGTTCACTTTTTTATTGGTGACAGCCACACAAGTAAATGCTACGACTGAGGTAGGTAAATTACAGTAGCGTGTGTCTGGCATAATAAGTATAAGCTGAATTGTAAATAAACTAATAAAAAAATCGAATTGCCTAAGGCGGGAATCGAACCCACGATTCAAGCATTAAATCAAGCCTTAGGCAGTTCGATATTTTCAAGTTGTTTATTTATAATTTAGTTTGAGAAGCGACTCTCACCGCTAAGAAATTTTAAAAACTTTATTTTATCTAAAATGCAATGAGGTTAATCGTTTTACCAGATATAACTAGATCACCTACTTACTTACCTAAGAAAATATTTAAAAGCATGCAGCTATCACCATTAACAGTACAAGATATTGTTTTGGAAAATAGCGGCGTACACTTACCTACTGTAGGTACCATTACAGTGAGATATTGCGAATAACCTCCTTATTTATTATACTACATAATAATATTCGCACGTGCAGTCGTTCCATCCTTTATATTCTCCGGATGCAACTCGCTTCTACTTTGAAATAAGAAGAAATTGGGCCTCAGATGGCTTTCTTATATGGATATTGGCAATAATTGAGAGCTTTCACAATCTTTAGTGATTGGATATTTTTTTTGTGTGTTTGGTTCCATAAACAAACAAGTACCTACCTGGTATCCACATCTAAAGGCACATTGTTAATGCACCGTACTTTTAAGAATTATTTTAGTCTTAAAATAATAATTAATTTGGATTTTATTTGAGGATGACTGTATAATATTATCTTTAAACAAACGTCATCTACAGACTCGCTTTTGAAGTCACAAATTCAGTAGCTAATTTTCTTATTGAAATTGCGTATCCTTGATCAGAGATGTCAAACTGTTTGATCGTTGGAAGTTTGATATCACTTCTTGTATTAAACTGAAACAACATTAAATAATGTGCTACTATTTTTTGGCCATTGAAAATATCAGTATTTTCTATCTTCTATCACACGATAATTGGGGTCTCACTTGGCGACACGTGGAAATTTTTCAGATTTTCCTCGATAGGTAGATATTCTTCCTTAGTAGTTCCTTCCTTCCGTTGTTTAGTTTTTCTATTATGTATATGACTCAAACTCTAAACTACCTTAGTAGCGCAAGGAAAATCTTTATGTTCCCTAAATGTATTAGCACCTATTTGATCTTGTTTACTGATGAACGATACGTTTTTGCATGATATAACTTTGGTGTTCAGTCCAAAGTTGAGCACCCCTGCCTCATGATCGGATCCAGGAATATCCCGCGGTTGGCCCGATGATTGAATCACGGTTCATGATTGACGGCCGATGGAGCTCCCGTGGGATGCCGATCCAATAACGCATTAATGACATCTCAGAAACATATTGGGCAATACACGAGTAGTACCTACAAGCTTATTGGTTTTTAGTCCCTGGCTACTGGAAGAGTCATAGATAAGAATATGTACACGTAGAGAGAGAGCTGCCTTTTAAAAATATGTTTACGTTCGAGAAATTCGGCATTTATAGAGATATTTTTTTCTCCAATTTTGTCCTTCCTACTATCCTACTAATATTTTAATTGTGAAAGTTCTAACATGCTAAGATGGATGTTTGTTACTCTTTGTGCAAAAGGTTGGACCCGGTTTGTTCCATGTAACGGAATTTAAGTTAGTAGTGCGAACTTGTCCTTGAAAACTGTTCCCTTCCTATTAAATTCTTAAGCTCCAATCGGCAATTCCAAACAACAAGCTTCTGGCCCAATGAAGCTCACAATTTCATCCACGACAAAGTAAATATACTCGGCAAACTTTGATTCCGAAATGAGCACTTTAAAGTTAGATGCGCAAAGTCAGAGGGACTAATTTATTTGGCAACTTGTTAAACTACGAAATTGATTTATTTGGAAGCTGTGGCGAATTAGCTGCTTGTTGCTGCGTATGAAATCACAACTTTCATTTATAAAATAGGTAACGCTTTAATTACCTATGTTGATTGATGAACGTCCAATATTTACCTTGATTGAAAATGTAGGTAAGTTTCAAGCCTAATTTTCCTTTCATTCGTAGCAATCAAGACTAGGTACGTACCTAGAGCCTATAAAAGAGCACTGTAAGTTGAGTAATTATTCGCCAGCCACCAGTTAATGAGGATAAAATGTCTAATGCAAAAAAAGCAGCAGAAAGGAAAACGTACCGTAAGTTTATAGAAAACAGCTTGTACCGTGGGGTTAGAGGTTCTAAACAGTGGAAGGGTCTACCTACAAGTACATATTTGATTGTGCGTATAAAACCGCCAAATCAGTACTACCACTATAGCTGTACAATCAGTACCTATTCGTATAGTTAAATAAAAAAAAAAGGTACACTGAGAAAATTATCTTGATGAAGGCAAGTTCATTAGTAAACGATAGGCAGCGTAGCTAACGCTGATTCATTAGAACATTTTCTCACCTCTGCGATTTCATTTCTCAGAAAACCTTGATCTAAGTAACAGAATTGGAGCCTGTAGATGTAGATACAGCACTAAATATTTAATACAGATTGATTCTGTGATTCAATTACCATAAACCAAAACCGACCGTCAGGTCGGAACGTACCTAACGAATCTGTCTATAATTATGCTTTCAATTAATGTTATTGAATTACACGTGCCGTGCACGTTATCACTAAAATCCATTTACACGCAGTTTCAAATGAACTCGTTAGCCGTGTTATTTCAATTAATTAATTTACTATCTCTATTTGTTGATCATTCAGGTTTAGTTACTTAATTACATAAGATTTTTGTCCACTTCACTATCCTCTCTTACAATAGTCCATTCATAACGAGACAAATCCCAAGTAGCTAATCTGAAGATAAATCCTTCTTAAATAGTAGTTGACTTGAATGAGCCTATCAAATTAATACTGGTTGATGACAGCATGACATAATCGCTTCCATACAGCTTTGAGATAGTAAATAATCTATTTCAGAATTTCGTTATGCCCCTAGTTTGAAATAGGATTATTGTTATTGAATTATCAAATTTCACTTGAACTAACAAAGCTACGGACAGTTGATTGAACACACAAATTTTAGCAATTTGCTATGTTCGAGTAGACAGCAATAGTTTCCAGTTCAACTACTTCACCTTATTACCTGGAGTAGTTTGGTTTGTTGACCGGGGTATTCCCTGTTTGTACAAACATTATTCGAGGCTTTTATATTGATTGGGTTACGGTAGGCTATTGGGTAATAAACGAAAACGCTATATCGGATAATAATATCCATCAGTACACTTTGTATGCGATACACACGGGCCGTAATGACGTTAAGCGGCGTGATAGAGCTCAAAGTAAAAACGTGTGTACACAGGCGGGGTAAAGCAATTAGACCATAATTGGGATCCTTTGTTGATGACAACACGTCTCAATATCTTTCTCCTATTTTTAGAATGTTTTTAAAAGCATTTATACCTACACAGATAACAATGTGATGGATGAAAAAATTTGGAATAGGTACCTTTTTATTTGATTTATTTTTGATCGCAATCCCAACCCCAGTGCCCTAAAGGTCACCTGTTGAAAATCAGCGTCGTAACATCACGCACCCACGACTATAATTGCTGAGTTAGGGACATTTTTGGCACAATTTGTCTTTTACGAGCAAAATATATTTGAAATATTTTGTGTTCCAAACGAAAAATACTATTGGTCTAATCGACCTACGCCAAGCTCTTTTGTACCTTAGATATACCTAAAAAAAAAAAATTTCTCGTCTAAACATTCATAGGTTGTTTTCTTACCTAATTCTTCTTCCCACAGGAAGAACGCCGCCGCACCGGTCGCTACATCGCCATCCTCGTGGGAATCTCTCTCTTCCTCCTGGCTCTGTACCACGCATGGGTGCGCAGGATCCCCATAGTGGCCAGCCTGGTGGTGCCCGCGCTGATCATGTTCGTGTATGTGGCCTGGGTGCTGTATACCGCTGCGAGGGATAAACACAAAGTGAGTGACAGGAATCTTATGGAATTTGTGCCTTCATTCATCATAATCGTCTTTTCAACCACAGGACGTCGACTGCTGAACATAGGCCTCCCCCAATGATTTCCACATCGCCCGGTCGGTAACGTCCTGCATCCAGCGCTTTCTGCTACCTTTATGAGGTCTTCGGTCTTCGGTCCACCTTGTGGGTGGACGTCACATATTATTGAAATTCCGTAATCGTTAATGCATAGCAGATTTTAAGTAATTCCTCTTTTTTGGTCACTATGATTAATTAATTAATCAAATTATGATATTTTGGTCCTAAATAATAATTGACATTGGCAAAATCTAATAATAATAGGTACTCCTATAGGACTATGAGTGTTTTGTTGGCACTTGATTTGGATTTACGTGTCAGAAGTTTAACGCTCAGGATTAAAATTAGGCTAAAAGTGGGTACCTAATTAATGAAATTAGCATTAACAGGGTTCACTCTGTGGAATGAAACAGGCACAATTGCTTTAGTGGCTGTATTTCACTGTCCCAATTCGAACAGACAATTTATGTTTACGATGCCTCAACGCGAATTACACCTACTTACAAATTAGCGCACGGCTCAATCAAAGTGTTAATTATAACATCAAAGTAAACGATAGTCTTTAGCGAACGCCCGTAATTAAAACGCCAAAAATACACAATTGAAAGTGAGAATGAACCAGATAATGATAGGGATGGATGATCAAAGCGTCTGAGGCCTTTTGGAAGTCCGAGACTGTGCATTTGTGGTATTGATGAGTGAGAATGAATCATTTGTTGAGTGAAAAAAGAACAGTGAAATGATATTACGACTTGGAGTCGAGTTTAGAGCGTCATTTCTAATACGAGCTTATAAAATACATTCATTTAAAGTTTAAACGCACACACACATAAGATCGTTGCGTTATTATAGGGCTTTCCTACTCCATATTTCTTCCAAACGATTCTTTTAAAAGAAGAGAAGTGTACTAAGAATTTAATATTTATTTCAGAACATAGGTAGATAATATCAATTCCTTCCGTTTCATTTGTAGGTACATAAGTAACTAGGAATATAACGAAGCAATCACGAAAACGAGTTACATCGTCTGCAATAGCTGGTACATTATTTTAGGAGTTCAGTTCAAAATATTGATAAATAAAGTTCATAAGAACTTGGGCACGTTCAAGCGAATAAGAACTCGCTTCACTGAACGGTTTACTTACCGTAAACCTTAGAGCCTTATGGTGTCTTCATATAAATAGCCCACTGAAAGGTGCACTTAATTACACGGGTTTTAGTTTAACCCGGTTTAACCCTCCACGACTCCACGTGTATGTTGGGGCGGCGAGTTAACTATATTAACGCGAATTCGGTTAACTGACATGTTGGTTCCATGTCAAACACGGTTCCGTGTTAATTCCGATAAACAAACTAATAGTACCTTCTATCTAGGGCATAGTATTTCCCTTGAAATGGTAATTTGAAAGGAAGGTCACTGACTGAATTAAAGCGACACTTCTCGAAATTTTGCCAGCCTTTGTGTTCAGGAACTCAATACAACTCGTAAAGCCTTAAGGCACGAGTGAGCAGACATGTTTTGGGCAAGCTTTCTCTACCAGAGAGCGCATCTGCACTTCCTGATTGTTATCAAGAGAAAGCTAGTCCACCTTTTTACCCGACTACGGCAAAGCAAAAGGAGGGTTATGATTTTTTTAAGGTGATGGCGAAAAGAGGCAGCTGTTTTTGTCAAGTAAAATACTTATCATGTTTTTAACAAAAGGAAACACAAAACTATATTCACTGTTGTCGCTAGTATTAATGAGCTCATCCACGTTTGTAGATCGCACTGATTGCAAACAAAGCTTTGTTTCGCCAATCCTTAATGAATGGAAGATGAACATAATATTCGTTCGTATATATGCTATCGTAACATGCTTTGTCGTTTTGTGTTATTTGCTAATTGCTAACTGATAAAATTGATTCTTCCTACAAATAAGACTATTCAGACTATTGAATTTCAGTGTTTAATATGGGAGGCAAACCATAGGTTACTATTAAATTATATTATTATCTTAACATGTTCTCTTATTTACCGCCAGGACTGGTGACGAAAAAAATCTTGTACTCTTTTGACCTTTCCTCTAAATCTAATAGCTCTGTTAATGAATTTATCCCGCTTTTGCTCAGTAGAAATATTTGAATACTAACAATCTGCTTGAACAAAAGGTGAGCTGTCTATCTGGATAATATCTAGACCAGATATTCAAACTTTTTTATCGGTGCTGCAAACTCTATGGCTATGGCTGGCATGGCTAAAACTTTTTTTACGATACTGCGGGGTTTATCACACATTTATTTACGGTTGTTTCAACCAAACCTGGATTAGCGCAGAGGACCTTTGTCCTTTGTCCAGCATTGGACGTCGTTTGGTTGATATTAATGTTATTGGTGACAAAAATCCGAATGTCCAAATATTTGTAGACTATGGCAAATGGGTCGATATTACATGACAATTTTGGGGTTAATCGTCAGAACGTGCGATTGCGAACGATTTTGTTGTAAAATTACTGAAAAATGTAATAAGTGCAAACTGACTGAGTAGGTATAATTAACTGATGGCCAGTAGTAACCCACCAGTGTTTACTTAATGGGATCAGCTGGTTCTCTATCCAGTTTACAATCTGTAGCAAAAATAGCGATACTACGCAGTGCCATTGATGCCAACCGACAGTTTGTTGATGTTCTGTTCAATCAAGAGCTAATTTATGTTACTTGAGTCATACAGAAGTAAAAATACTTTCTGTAGTATATTTTAGTGGGTATTTAAAGTTAGGAAATGACAAAGAAGAAGCTCTAATGAGTATTACTCATGCGCATAAANCGCATCAATTTTAATTTGCCCACTCGTTTCGTTTCAAACTGTGGAGCACCTAAGTAGTTAATTAAAGGTCAGGTTTAAATCGTGGTACCTAATGGTAATACCTACTAAGGCTGAGTTGTACCACCTAATTTTGACAGTAACTATAACGATAACCGGTGTATTTTGTATAGAGTTTGACAGATTTTTGACGATTGTTAAAGTTAAAGTAAGATGCAGGTGCAATCCAGCCTTAATCTGCTAACGATTGGTACTAATCGTATACATCGATCATAGATTTTTTAATTTAGTTTTATAAAGTCGCATACATTCTACGCATGCATTTTGTATAGTTAGTATAGTATAGAAAATAAAATAACTTTTAATTTTAAAACATACTAAGTAGGTTGAATATTTGTGAGCTAGTGTAATAAAAGTCCCATTTTCAATATTATAATACCTACGGTACTCTAGAACTTTCTCAAGTTTCAAGTTGTTTGATCGCTTTAATAAATCAAGGTTTCCCGGCTGTCCGGTAACTTACACTTGTTACTAAGAAAGTTTCACCACTTTGTCTAAAGGTACTACTTATACTTGTACATTATACCGGATATAAAGTACAGTTGAGCAAAAACTTAAATAGTGAATTTAGAGTATGTTTTTTTTGTTGAAGATAGCAATTTTCATCCAAAAAATTTTAGTAAGTAATCCTATAATTCCATTACATTTAATTTAAAATTATCACAACAACACACTATACTGAAGAATAGGATAAGATATATTTATACGTGCTATCAGAGCTAATGCCCTTTTACCCCCCAAAATCAACTTGTTGTAAAATCTAAAAAGTTTAACAGGTCCTTAAAATATTATATTTTTGTTCGCAAAAATATTATTGTTCTGTTTTGTAATATTTTGTTTAACATATTTCACATTTGGGTTTTTGTTTTTAACGAAAACAATTCATAGCGATCAATAAACCTGTATGGAAATTTAACCAAACAGCCCAAAGCGTTGTAAGGTTTTCACTTATTAGGATTCCGTACCTTAAAAAGTTAAATCAACCCTTTGAAATCCATCTGTCTGTTAGTCGTTCAAGACCCTTTTTTCAGAGACGCATGGAGACGTGAAACACTTAAGTAAGTCTACGTTTCCTTGGAGATTTGAATAACTTACTCAATACTGTCTTGGATTGGAATGCCCTAAAGTCTAGGCTGTACTATAGCACTAGAATCGAGAAATGTTGTATTAAAATTCTTATTGCTTAAAGTGTTGCACATAATGGTCAAACTTGACCTTCATTGGTTGGTTTTTTATGGCGGTCAAGCTGTAGATCCTGGCTACACAGAAGTTGCAGTGGTGGGAACGAGAGGTGGGAATAGTCCCGTTACACGGTCACTTCAATCATACTTACCTACTTTCAGGTAAAGTTAAAACGAAAGATAACAAGTGGGTCATAGCAGGAAGTCCTAAAATAACACCGACGTAAGATTTATGTATACCTAAATGTTCAAGAAAAATTCTTAACGAAACTTTTATTTAAAAAAATATCAAGTTACAGGACCGTACCACGCAAAACAAGGTGAAGAGCCGGAGTCTTCGCAAAGAAAAATGTTATTATCTTGTTAACGTTTACTACGAAATTCCAGCGTCTGCAAAAAGCGTGTAGGAAGCATTGAGTTATAATGTACTACGTACTAGAGAAGACATGTCAACTAGACTGTTTCTGGCACGTAAATAGGTCCACGGACCGAAATTCAATTAGTATGTGCTCAGCGGTTGCTGTGACAACACGCTTGAGTGCAGTTTTGTTTTTTGAAATATGCCATCCTATAGACGAAAATACTGTTCAAATAACTCCAGATACATATTAAGTAAAAATCAAGGAATGACTTTTTACCATTAAGTTGTACATTTATGCACTTTAAAACACTAATTTAATTTTAATTTGTTAATTACAAGGCGTCACCGCGGCGGCAGCCATTTTACGAAAATTTCAAAGAATAAAAATCGCAGACTTGACACTGACGCATAAATTAGTATACGAAAGGAAGGTTAAATACAGCAATAAAAAGATTTTTTTAAAGATTATAAGCACTTTGTATTGCACAAATTACTAATAGTCCCGTCCAGCCCCTTGTGTTA